TTGAAAGTCTTGGGGCCATGTGGGTGTGTCTCAAAGTAGCGGACAGCAGGAAAATGGTGGTTCTCCACTTGGCTTCCCTTTGAACCCACCCCAAAAATGCCTTCACATCCAAAAACAACTGCTCAGTTGCCAAACGATGCCAGACATTCCTCAGTCGCCGCGCCCCCGCGACCCGCGCGCGCGCCAGGCTCAAGCAAACTGAGAACTACGGGTGACTGAAGCCCGAGAAAGGCGGCAACAGATGGTCTGCCGCTACGGTGTGTCTTTCCTAGGCCCAAAATCATGGTAGTCCTTCTGGCTTTCCCTTGCAACCCCCCAAAAAGGGGTTAACAAAAAAAACTCACGTGTCCTTCCCCATGCTGGGTGTGAGTTGTTTGGGGACTCGATATGGACATCATGAAATGGTGAGGATTCGTCTCCACCAACCACTTCGGGTGGTTCCCCATTCAAATTCACAGCCACGTAGCCCTGATGCAACAAGGTTTTAGAGGAAAGCAACCGATGGTAACATGGTCGACTGTGTCCTTACAAAGTGGTTCATCCCTAATACACATGTCATATTGAGAGAATGTGAGAAGGTAACTCGAATATGTTTAGTTTGATCTGCTATTTGCCGATTCATGTTGCTTTACAATAAGTCTACTGCCCTGTCAAAATCTGGTCTCCAACCCTAACTCAAAGGGCCACACCTTGAAACAGTCTGCCGCGCAACGGCACTGCCAAACAGTTGTTCAATGCTCGGATGCTGCAACGAACTCTGCTGGGATCTTAACTTCAACAACATGTGCATTGCCGCCATGCATCCTCACGCAAATGCTGGCCAGCATGTGCCAAACAGTCAGCGATTGATGCATTCAAATGATGCTGTCAATTGTGCCTTCCAACAGCAAACAGAAGCGGACCAATCATCGAAACTCCACATGATGATATTTGTGGAGTGCATGCACCTTTCCTCGAAAATTGTCTTTTCTATGTGGTTGTATTCAGGTCAGCACAAATGCGTGCGCGCAAGCGGGGGTTGCAGTACTGGAAGGCCGGGCTTTAGCCACCCTGGTGCCGACTTACTGTGAGCCTTGGATTCCTCATAGCAGCCGTTCGACATGGCGTCCGGACTTCAAACGGGCGCAAAGCAGTCGTGCAGAGCGCCGCTCGTGGTGCCCGCATGGAACTCTCACCGTGGGGGGTCGATCCGAAGCCGTTTTCATGGACCTGAGGGACAGCCCTCAAAAACACGCAAAGATCAAATTGTCACTGAGAATATAATTATCTTGGTTATTTATATCTCTTTGATAGACAAGATATAGACAGATATTAATAACTGACATGAGATGGTTCCACGGATAGCGGTTACCTTTATCCCCGTTCCATCTCTTTGATTTCCAATTTCTCCTGCCCAGTCAAGAATTGGGTGAGAGATCATAGTCAGGTTGGATCAAGCTGCGCAAGGCTCGAAGAAAAAATAAACGTCCGATTCGAGAAGGGGTTCCAATTGTCTGGCCGTTTTGCGGACTCCGCAGGGAAGCGGCGCTCGCAAGTGTCACACCTGAGTTAGGTGTGGCTCGGAAGATGCGGACCAGGCCCTGGCCCACGCCAAGGGCTCAGCCCCTCACTCCGCCTGGAGGGGTGGAGCACCAAAAGCACGGCCAGCAAGGAAAGCATGCACAAGGGATGGCACGCGAGAAGCGAGCAAATGAGCAAGCAAGTGAGAGTGTCAAAGCCTAATAAAACTGGTTGGCCACATTTGTTGGCTTCACCCTCTCTCTCTCTATCTCTCTCTCTCTTTGCCTTTGCAAAAAGAACAAAATTTGCATCCAGCAAAGCACGACCACCTCCACGTGCTGGACAGGACGATGCCCCGGCCCTTTCCCGCGCCTAGGAAGCCCCAGCTGTGGGCTCCCAGCACCATAACTCGCTCGCCTGGCCGAAGAAACCAGCAAGACGGAAGCTATATCAACCCTCAGTTAAGGAGCCTCGTCGTGGTAGGGCTTTCCTTCATGGAAAACTGTTGCGCTCAAGTGTCCAAATCGCAACACATGCACAAACGCATGTAGACGCCAAATCCCGCTTTGAACCTTCTTGCGCAGTATCTCGGTACACAGGAGAAAGGGCCAGGTGTTGGCTGAAATGTATTAGGAACAACCTCCACATTGCACCAACATCACGGAGCAGCGATGTGCTTTTGCGTTGGGAAACATGTTTGTCCCTCGTTACTTGCAAAGCAACATGTCCTTCAGCGCAGCAAGGCAAATGTTGTTTCCATGTGATTTGCCTGTCTTCGCTGCATTGGTGTAGCACATGGTCAACACCTGGTTGTGGCTTTGAGGCAACCAAACAAAAGAGCCACGGGGGATTGTCTTCTCAACAGGACCTTCAGAAAGAGGGACTGGAAAAGCAAGGGCGAGTCTCATGTTCCACTTTGAAGTAGCCAGCAAACAAGTCAGAGTCCAAAAAAATAGGAACCGAGGGAAGCGACACACCCTTCCTCTGTTTGGACTCCTAGTATTGAAGGGCGATGCTTATCCTGCAATATCGTTGTCCTGGCCATGACGCACACAAACAAAAACAGATATTGATATGAATGCAAACTTCCTGCTCAGTTTTTGCCCCCCAGGATTCCCGCCTGGGCTTGTGAGATCCGGGGCGTCAGCCTAGCATGGGCAAGGAGTTCCTACCGCTTTGCCTCTGCAAGAAAAAGTGGTCAGACGACCGTGTTACCCGCACTGTTGGCGTCTGAGCTGGGCTCACCTGTTGAAGGATGTGTGGAGTCCAGAATGCAAAGCGTAGTCCAAGCAGAGCAACGCCGAAGGCGGATCCGGAATTCAACTGGGATTTCCACTGCCTTGCCATGCTGATGACACTGGGCAGGTTTGAGGCTCACCTGGCAAGCCTCTCAGAAACGGGCAAGAACAGTCGCAGGAAGGACATGGAAAATATGCGAAGGACTTTCAGTTGGTCCAGCGCTCGAAGCCCCAAACGGGTCGCCGGTTGATTTGAAGAGAAGCCAAAAGGAAACCACCTGTTGGGGAGTTGCCCCCTTTTGCAGACAAGCCCAGGTCTTCCAAACACAAAAACACAACAGTCAGCCACAGTCCAATTGCCTAAAGAATTGCGGGCCATACCACCATGTTCTCGCTTGTATGACGGATCAACTTGAACCGTTCCAGAAACAAAGGCAGCTGTACCTCAGTCAGCCCCTAGCGCAACAAGTTGCCGACTCTAAAGCTTCTCTAGTCAAGCTTCGCTCAATTCTCCTTCCTCAAAGGCACTGAAAGCCTCCTCTCCAAGGAACTGTTGCCATTTGCAGAGGCACCGCGCAAAAACGAGAATGGCCAAGTTTGCCATGCATGAGAAAAGGCCAAACCACTTTGGAGGTAGTACCCTCCCATCCGCTAAAACATGAGACCTGACCGGTTGCCTGTAAAATGGACCCTCTGAGACTCCGGTGGGTTAGGCTTAGGGAAGGTGTGATGGTGCCGTCACTGCTTTGTCAGCCATCAGGGCCTGGCTTCGATCGTATCAACTCATGAGCAAATCCTTGGGAGAGATACAATCCCTATGAGATATACCGAGCTTCACAAGTAGGGAAACCAAAAAGGTATGACTTTCACCACATGGGAAAAGTGACCCATGGTCGTGTTGGGGCCGACCCCCATATACCGAGCTCCGGATTTGGAACATCCCTGCCTCCAAGCCACCAAGAAGGAAGCCCAACGCCTGGCATCATTTTGGTCGGAGTGGGGAAACCTACCATGTGAGTAGCAGGACCAATGTCAAGCACCTGCACACAGAAGGATATACTGTTCTCGGAACAATGAACTGGGAGCTGTATGCACGCTGCGTACTAGAAGCAACAAGCACGAATATGACACATGATTCAACAGCGCAAGGATAACTCCAGCCCACCCCCCTTTCGAGCGGGTCTGGCTTCATTTGCGGCACTATTTTTTGCGAATCTTCACTGTCTTCGCACTCATAGAAACCCCCCAAAAACCAGGATTCCCTCTCGCAGAGCTTGGTTTGAAGGAAGAAAACCACCATTTTGGCGGGGGGGTCCCCCACAAAAAACACACACAAATAGATGGATGTGGTGTGTTCTACTGAGAGAACAAAAAACCTCTCACGGAGCGGCGGCGATCGACGAGAGCGCACCAATCCCTCCAGCGCCAGGTGCCGGAGCTGGGACACCGTCACCGGCGCGGAGTCTACCTGGCGCTCGTGGCAAGTGGAGGACTTGCCCTCTGACCCTTAGGGAGACAAAGGTGTGATATTTGTGTAAAGGGCTTTGATAGTTTGAAGGGGGAGCCAAAGGAAACCAAACCATTTGTTGGGAGGTCTATTTCATTGGCTTCCCAAAAAATCGTTCGGAATTGGAACACACCCCTCCAGTTTCATGTTTAACGAGGGGGGGGGGGGGGGGCTGGCTCAAAGGGTGAGATCTGGACGCCCATGGTGCCGGGACGCGAAATGGCTGCATTTCCCCCCAAATGGTGGTTTTCCCTTTACCAGCCATTTAAGGAAATTCCCCATCGAAAAAGACTGACAGAACGGGAGCCCGCGCCATGTTCCTGGCCATTCCTGGCTCTGATTTCAACGGGTCGGATTGCCCACAGTTCCCTATGGCATTCGCAATCGAAAACACATTTCAAGTCTGGCACCCACTCTTGCACAATCAAATGGAAAGTGTCATCTTCAAACTATTGGGCATGGTCAAGAAAAAAAGGAAATTAAACAAACATTGCTGGAAACACCGTGTGCTACCTGTAAGGTTCTGCCAGCCAACACATGGTTTCCGCTCAGGCAATATCCATATCCCAGTCTGCTGACACCGAAACTTGCATGGCTTTTCCCCCAACAACTTCGAACCTCCAGAACGTATGTGTGTATATATTTGTATATAGATTGTAACGTTTTTTTGGGAGACTCCAAAAACCAAAAACCAAACGTCTAGCGACGTTTTGCGCTTCAAAACTTCCCAAGCGGCGCCCCGCGATCTTTTTCTCTCAGGCGGAGGCGGCACGCTTCTCTGGGCCGATGCGGCGACTCTTGGGAGAGGCGCTCCGGGCACGCGTCTCCTCCAAAACATCCGCGCGTCTCCCCGTTGCGGGCTCTTGGCTCGGGAATTGGTAACCCTTGTTGGGCTTGAACGGCAACCCAAAAAGAAGCCAAGCTTGGGAAACGCACAAAAAGATAGAGTGATATCTCCCTTTTGCAGCCCCTCCGCAACTTGCTCGCAGGGGTCCAAATGTGCTTGGCGCATTTCATCACCTTTTCGGCCCCATATGTTAAAGTCTCGCTGTTGGGAGTTTTGGCTGTGCATGTCAAGAGTCGCAACCACCTCGAAAGTGGTTGGTGAACATGAATCCCCACCGAGCTTTGATGTTCACCATTTCAGCTCCCCAATTTTGATTCACACCCAATTGCTGATTTTCTGGGCCGTGATCATATGCAGTTCGGTGGTCCGGTGTCCCTTCTGTGCTCCTGTGCTTGCTTTTCAAATGGGTCGGAAGCTGCGCTCTAATTTCGTCATTCCAAATACAACCCCCAGCTTGGGAGCATCCGAAATCCTTGGTTGGTTGGTTGGTTGGTGTGTGGCCAGCACATGTTAGTGAGGCCAGGCCCGCGCTTCCCCCCCGGCCGAAGCTTGGGGGTTCAAGCCGGCCGGAAAAATAAACGCAGCCAAGGCACAAGCCGTACCATGGGGAACCCAAGGCCGGCGCAGCTAAGACAGGGGCAGAGGGTGGAAACAGTGGGGCCGGAAACTGGGGGGCCTGAGCATGAGTAACAAAGAAACCACACAAACAGAAGCATGCAAGGCACCCCAGAACAGGCCCGGTAGGATGTGAGACCTTCCCGAGCTCAGGCCAAGGCAATGGCAGGCTCGCCTGCGACGACGGTCAGGATCCCGACGCAGATTCTCGATACAGAGGCGAAAGCCAACTGAAAGGCCAGGCGGAGAGCCGAGAGCACCATCACAGGCGGCTAGGGCCGCGGAGACTGTGACAGGGTCGGATCTACGTTGCAGGAAGCGGTACAGCCATCGCTTGATGCGACGGTTGCTGAGCACAGGCGGCTGAGCCACGCCATGACCGGCTCCTGGATGGACCTGACTAACCACCGACTCTATGTGCGCACTCAGGGCTGCCTGCAAAGGAGGATGAACTGGACGGAGAGGTGAGGCAGCAACGAGAACGCACAGTCAGGGCAGAGCTGAACAACGTGAGCCGCGGACGGCAGGTACGCTGCATGAGCACCACAGTTCCAACAACAGTGAGGCCGGAAGTGGATACAGTGGTTGCAGCCACGACACACAGCATCCCCAAGCCCGTTACACCATGAGCAAGGGAGAGGCTCGGGCGGGGCCGGAGCCAGCCGCGCCCGCCCGCACGTGGAACACAGATCAAGGGCAGGGAGAGGGCCAGGAAGCGCAGGACAGGCGCACTGCGTATGAAGGATCTCAAGAGCAAAAGGCCAGGTGACAGCGTATCCCCACTCAAGCGACATGCCGGTGCGGACCGGGACCCCGCTGGCTTGGGCCAACCGCACGATTTGCTGAAGGGTACGCTCCGAAAGGCGACATCCCAGCTCAGAGGACAGGCGTGAACACATAATTGCAGACGTTGGCGCGAGCCACCTCAAGGCACGAAGGGTGACAACCCCGCCAGGGGATGCGCTCCACGCCTGGTAGCGCACCAGCGGAGAGGGGACACCTAGAGGGATACCTGCCATTGCTGGCTCGGGCTGCGGCGCCGAGCACGCTTGCATGGAGCGCACGCAGGACGCCACGAGCCCAGTCCGAGCAGAGTATTGCCAGCGAGCGGCCCGAAGACCACACAGCAAGACAGCAGTGAAATCAATAGCCGGCCGGAGCCTGTCCGCAAGTGACCGGTGCCTGGCCTGCTCAGCGGCGAGCTGGGCAGAACTCAGAAGGTGCGCAAAGCCTTCAGCTGCGTCAGGCATCATCCGGCACAGGCGTGCCCCGAGCTGCCTGGAGGATGGCACGACCAAGTGCAGCAGGTAAAACACCGCGGTCAGCACATACCGCTGCCGCACTATGGCCCCCAGTGTCGGCAGAAAGAATGACTTCCCGGTCCAGCGTGGGAACAAGCCAGCGCCAGGCTGAGAGCAAGGGCCAGCGGGCCTGCACCTCCGGGGCAACGCTGCCAATGATCGTTCCCAGACCACGCGCCTGCACATCCCTGTGCCACACGTGTGCAAGGCGGAGCATAAGACCATGGGCATTCAGCTGATCCAGCCGCTGTTCCAGCACATCGCGGAGTAGGTCGACCAACAGCTTCATGACAAGCTCGGCGACGATGTCAGGTATATCCGCGACGCCGCGGCCATAGTGCTCAGCATCATCTGAGTACCCGGCCGTGGCCACGCGACGACCGCGGGACGTGACATAAGCAGCAGAGCTACTCTCCCTGAGGCGGAGGATGGGATCCTGAGCGGGACGGGACAACTCGCTGGCCACCGCGCCTTGCATGATTCCTCGCTGCACCTGAACATCGGGAGTCAGACCGAAGCGGGTTTCAAGCTGAAGCACGTGCCCTCGGAACGCCGAGGCGTAGAAGCGGCGAACGCTGTCCGGAACACCGCGAGCCTGGAGGACGGCGTCAAGTTGCGGGATCAGTAAGGTGTTAAAAAATTTCTCATAATCAGAAGGGATACGGCACAGGGGGCGCGCGTGGCGAGCTGCGTCTTCGCAAACAAGCGTGTCCACGTGGAGGACCTCGGCCGCCGCGTTTACCCTGGGTGCGTACGCTTGGTTGGTAGAGGAATACAGCTGCATCGCCTCTATCCTGCGACGCTCAACCAGACGCTTGGTGACCGGCCCCTCAAGCGCCTTGAAGCCCTCCTCCAGCATGGACAGGGCTCGAAACCCGCCAGACGGTTTGGGCATGTGGGCCTGGATGGCACGCCGAAGAGACGGCGCGACGCAAGCGGCAAGGCGTTGCACATCAAGCAGGCGCCAGAATAGCATCTGGGCGCGGGGCGGGAAAAGAGAGAGGAAGAGGAGCTTGAAGCCGGAAGGACCTGGGCGAGAGCGACGCATGCGCCGAATAAGTGTGGAGCGCTCCGCCTCAGTGAGAGGGAGAACCAACTCAAAGTCGGGTGGCTCTAGCCGTCGGAGCAGCAAATCCCCCTGCGGCTGGAGGAGCCACCAATCAGGCGGGCAAGCGGCCGGGGGCCGCCCAGACACGCGGATAACAATCCAAGCTTGCGTTGACACTGGAGCGGGCCGCCGGGCCGAAACCCCCGAGGTTCCCCAGCTGATGACCCAGCCGCCCACCGAAAGACGAAACTCATCCCAGACGCAAAGCTGCTCTCGCGACCAGCGCACCTGAACCCAAGGGCCAGGGTGCAGGTAGGCTGCGCCAAGGCGACCACTCAAAGTAGGCAAGTCCAATGTAGAGATGCACTGGAAGGCTGGGCACCCACGGATGACACCGGCGCCATCCATCCACGAGTCAACGTAAGGACTAGACCATGGGGAGGACGGCTCATGAAACAGGCGTGTCCACTCCTGGACAGCTCCAACTAACACTTCCGCTTTGTCCCGGGGCCTTGCCACCGCGCCATCGGGAAGCGTGACGGTCGAGGGAACATAGCCAGGGTGAGGTGGACGAGCAGGTCGCATGAGCCGAGACCAACGCCTGATGTCCCCAGAGCGCAAGGTGCACAACCGCGCGCTTAGGCTATCTTGCCGGTAGAGGCGCCGGCACTGGTCACGGCGCCCCGCCGCTTCGCTGAGCCAAGCCTGGATCTGCCGAAGGCACACGACGCCGGAGGGAGAAGGCGACGGCCAACACAACTGTGAGGTAGCAGGAGGTGAAGAGGAAGGCGTCCCTTCAGGCGGGGGAGCGGGAAGCCAAGCCTGGAGATCCCGCCAGCCCACGTTCGCCAGCCATGCTGGAGGGTTGGACGAGAACTCGTCCCAAGCCACAGGCGGTAGGGTAGGCGGGGAGCGGGTGCGGCCCTCGACTTTACAAGCCTTGGTCCAGTATGGTTGCACTTCTTCAAGCGCAAGTTGCGGATCGGCAGGAGGGGCATCCAGGAACAAACGGCGGAGAAGCCGTAACTGGTGAACGCACTCTTCCCAAGCCCGGGCGGCCGATACACGGGCACGAGATACTGGCGGGGAGGCATTGGACAAGGACAGATTGGAGCGAGTCGAAGGCCCGCCCAATGCGAGAGGACAGCACCTCAGAGCGCAGATCCGCAGATGCACCCTCACCGGTACCATCCAATCCCTCACACGAGGAGAAGAACAGATGAGAGGGTTGGGACAGGCTAAACAAGAGGAAGCTATCCTCTTCAAGGTGTTGGAGTAACGGAGCATGCGCGGCAAGGGAACTCGCCACGGTGTGCCGCAACGACTCCAGTTGGGGCACAGGGCCGGACTCAATGGTCTCTGCCAAAAAACGCCAAGAAGGAGGGCCGGCAGGGGAATCATCTTCCACCAATGGGAGCGCGGCAAGAAAGTCGGCAAGCACGGGCTCATGATCAACACGGCGACGCCAGCCAACAAGAACCGCAGAGTTGAGCAGCAGGAGAGGTTCAGCCCCACGTGGGCTGAAGGACCAAATGCCATCCAGGCGGCTTGCAGAGCCAGAGTGGGCAAAAAAGGTGTAGGCCCGGAGGCCTGCGTGGCGGAGACGAAAGGTGTCTACGCAGTCGAAGGAAGGCATGTGAGCAGCGAGGGACGACGGACGGAGAACATGCGACCCATGCCAAACATCAAGATCCAGCGAGGCGACGGAGTTGAAGTCACCCATGCAAATGCACGGGATACTAAGCTCGTCCGCCAGGCGGAGTTGCTCCCGAACAAACTGGACCAGTGAAGCCTCTTCGGCCAGCTTAGACGGATCACTATCGAACCCGGGAAGACTGGCTCCAGTCACCGCGTACACGCCCACGATACGAACAGGACAGCCGCCTGAAAGATGTACAGTGCCGGCCATGCCACGGCCACCCGGAGCACGCGCAACATCACACCAGCCAAGGATGGCACCGCGCCGAACTGCCAGAACAACACCAGAGCGAGCGGCAGGCGGCGCTCCCGAGGGGCCATGACACACAGCAGTGTAACCGGCGGAGGCAAATCCATCAATGAGAGAAGGGGCAGAGTCGGAGGAGGTGAAGCCAATCTCAGAGACGCATCCTATATCCGCTCCCAGGTGAGAGAGGGACTGGCCCCACCAATGCCCGATAAAGCGGGCATCGGTACCTACGCCGCCTGCCAAAACAAGAAAAACTATTTGACATGCTATCACATCCATCCTCTCTATTCGACCACACCCTACAAAACCTAGCCTTTCAAGTCGGAAATCCCAAGAAGCAAAGCGGCAAAAGGGTTAGCTATGGCCCAGTGTATTGCTAGCAACCGAATGAACACCTTAAACACGGATTTCCGTCCTTGCGCTTCACGCCCGCGTCGGTCTCGGCCGATTCTGGAGCTGGTGAGGCTTGCGAGCCTTGGTAGCAAAAGGACCCGCGCACCCCCTGCGACAATCCGGTGAAACAATGTGCAAAGCTAATCAAGTCGAATGATTGAACTGCTTAGTGCATGCGATGCATTGTCGTGCAACAGCATCAGAATCCAGTTGAAAGTTAAACTACTGCGTTCATAGCTGCATTGTCATTTACCGCGTTCCATGCTGTACATACCGGTCGGCTTGTTTCGTCAATCCCGAGGCGTGTGCCCACCAGCCCGTGTTTCCTCCAACCCCCTCCGCCCCTGACAGGCGCCCTCTGCAAGAGCTGAATGAACGGCTTCACAAGCACTGATCGATCAAATGCCAGCCCCACGCGTTGCTTGCTCATAAGCCAGAGAGGAACGCACGTGTTGGAACTTTCACAAGCACTGCTTGATCATAAAGCCAACTGTCGTACACATAGTTGCTTCTGTGTAGCATATTTTTCTGGAGTTCTCGACTCAAACAAACTTCCAGTGTCTTCCGCTCCTTCTGTAGTCGGGCAAACGTAGATAGCACAATTCACCCATGTAGGTTTCATCATCCTGATTCATCGACAGGAAATCGTGCCATCCATTTTCACCCTGTGCCAAAATGGGTGTTTTCTCCGTGGTTTCCAAGCAAACCCCCAAAAGGCTACCGCCTCAAAAACAAGGCAGGGCCACTGGATTTTCCCAAATGGTTGGAAATGGAGAAAGCCCTGAATTGTAGAATATGCTCAGGCAGCCCAAACCGGCCTGACCACAGGAAATGATCAATTTACTGGTGGTTCCCATTGAACAGCCACTTTTGACGGCTCCAAAAAGTTGGAAATGCAGCCTGTTGGTTTTCCTTTTGGTGTCCCTTTAAACCAACCCCCTCAAACGGGTAGCCGAGCCTCGACCAGACCCCCCACCCCGTTCCCCAGCACCTTTTGTGCGTTCCAGCGGCTGAGGATGCGCCAGGCCGGCGCCGGCGCCGGCACCAGCGCCGCGGTGGGGCACTCCGCCATGTCGCAGATCACGGCGGCGACCACCGGGGCGAAGTAGTCGCACCACTGCCAACCCCACGCCTTCGAAGGCAAAGGCGCGGCCTGATTTTGATTTTTGAATGCGAAAAGGTGCCCGTTTTCAGGGGGTTAAAGGGAAACAAAGGGAAACCAAATGTGACGGCCCCCCCCCCAGTTTGTGGAGTTGGTGTACTTAGCTTGCCACTTTTTGCTTTGGACTAGTGGTTTGAGGAGTTCAAGCCCTGGCTGAATACAACAAAAAGGTAATACAGCTGCCTCCAAGCCAACAATCCAAACCATTGGGGGGGGGGAAGCTGAAGAATTGGTGCAGAAGAAGGGTTGCGGGAGGCAATGGTTGAACAAATGTTAGTCGCATACTATTGCGTAGTATTCATTTAGCCTCGCATATGATCATGATGTATCATGGTGCATTTGCTGGCTAGATACGGGCTCGTTGCCAAGTCTGTTTGCTTGGGTGCATGGGTGCTTGTGAGAAATGGGGTGCTCTGCTTGGTCAACTCGGCGCACATGTCAAGCAGCTTCTGGAGACCAGACCCGAGCGGAGCGCAACGAAGGAGGTTGTGTAAGCACGAGCATCATACGGACAAACCATTAAAGCATACACAGATGCTGCTGGACGAAAACTCTCTCACACCTTGGGTCAGGTCTCAGGCAACAGCTGCCTTCTTGGAAGATCCGCGCTATGGCAACGATCGCTCCCTTCCTTGCCCGAATGACCTGGACAATGCCGGTCAATCCTCAGAAGGTAGTAAGAACAGCAAATGTCTGGACGGGAAAAACAGACAGATTGGAAGGCAGTTGGGAGTGCTTCACGTCCACAGGGGTCCATCCTCACGCCAGTCGGGATGGATGAAACCCGATTTGAATAACCATGCAATTCGGTTTGTCCCGGCCATGCGCCCCATGCCTGGTCCCAATGGAAGATGCGGAAGTCCCACTCCAGGGCCGTCCTTGCCAGGTCGGTATTTAATAGCAACCCGACATGGAAAAATTGGGTCCTGCTGTTTCTGGGAAATATGGGTCACAAGTTTGCTGCAGGAACCTGAGGTCCGATTTCCAAAAGGAGTTTCCTCGAAGCGGGCTTCTGGGCTTTCGTCTGCGGAGTAGCCATTCATCGGTGCATGGGTGGCCCGGCGTTCATTCGCCTCGACCAATTTTGTCTGCTCAGCTTGAATCAGGAAATGCAACCCGTTGAAGGCTTCTCCGTGAATCTAGCAGAACGCGGCTTCAACCAACCAAGAACCTTCTGACTGAGACATTCCGAGGCCTGCATGGCCTGCATGTTCAAGAATGAGGCAACCAGGCAATACCGAGCAAGATTCAGTGATATGCAGATATGTTGCATCGTGCATTTCGGAGATGCTACAATGCACCAAGCCGGTCCAATAGGATCTGTAGTCCTGAACACAAAAGCAAAATCGACCAAAAGCACTTTACTAACACTCTTAGAGCTCATGCCAGCTGCTCGAGCCCAGCGAAACGAATCGGGCTTCAACGTAAAGCACATCCTGCAATCTTCCGCATAAAGAAACCACTTTCCAACGGGCACATCGGCACGATTTGCTGCAAATACTGCAATGCAAGAAGCTCAACCAAGTAGCGCCCTGGAGCATTCCCATCTCTTGACGGAGATGAAGCATCGGATTTAGACACGATGCTGCTGCATGCGTGCAGAACTCCCTACGCCATGGGCAACCAATTCATCAGGCCAGCCGGCAACCTGTCGCCGAGAAAGCCTCTAAAAGAACCTTGGAAGCTAATTTCCGCCATCTATCTTCGATTGTACAATCGGAGTTTGGTGGTTGAATTCACCTGCAGTCTTTAGGAAGGGGCCGTACCTTCCTACCTTTCCAAGGTACAATTGAGTATGTGTCAATTTCAAGGGACATGTTCGGTGACTCTGCTTTTGGCTCTAAGCCAAGTCGAAACGGCCAATACTGAACAACCACAAACATTATTATCCTATCATGAGCTAATTTGGTGTAGTACCCCACAACCTTCTGATGATTCAACGGCCCCTACTGCTGACCACAATAGTACCTGTCCTGTCAAAAGTGGCTCGCTGATCAGCTTTTAGTGGGAGATGCAATGAATCCCACAAAACCCTAAGAAACGAAAAGTCGGAACCATATATTAATTTCTCTCAAAACAGGGGTACCCCACAAAAACTCCGTTGTGTTCCTATGGTTTCCCAACACCACCCCTCAAACGCATGGCCCGGAGCCGAAATTCCGCATGGCTGCGGAGCCCACGAAATTCCGGGGCCCGCTCCGTTGGTCCAGGCGGAGGTTGAGGTGAGCGTAGGCGTCCGGACTGCCGGAGGAGCCGGTACAGCTGTGGCACACCTTGGCCATCCGTGACACTTCGTCGCGTCGTTGGGAGATGGTACCTTTTGGGCGAGAAACCAAAAGGACAGATCTGGGCCTTGCATGTCTCGGTGGGGTACTTTTTGGCGGCTTTCAATGCAAACCGAAAGGAAAATACCCATTTTGGGGGTCTCGGTTCCTTACTCAGAGACAAACTTCTTAAATCCCCTTTGGGTGTACGCATTCCTGGCAAGACTTCCGTGCCTTGAAATCCCTGCAAACGTCTAGTGTCCAAAAAGGCCTCAGGAACCCTATGTCGCCAAGACACCTGGTGGCAGCCCAGTGGCAGGCCACCCGTGATGGCGCCCACCTGGGACCGACCGATTTTTTCCCCGGGGAGGATGACGCCTTAAAGGAAGACAGCCATTGCAAGGATATGGGTGTGTCCAAATGGGGGGCCTCCATCGGGCGGTTTCCTTCTGGCACCCATATCTCGGGTAAATGGAATCCAACCATTTGCGAATGGATCCAGGATAATCCAGGTCTTTTGGAGGACACCCTTGGACAACCAACCAATTTGAAGGATCCCCAATCGTGAGGCGAACCCACCAGGCAAATGAACATACCGCCGATTTGTTGAATTCGCAAGGGGCGCTGGAAAGGGGGAGAAGTCTTGAAGAGCTGCAGTGAGAAAGTCTTTGGAGAGGCGCTCTGCAGCAGTGCCCCATTTGCAGCAAGGCCCTTGTTGCTTTCAGGCAGGATGGAGGATCCACAGCTCTGTTTCCCGCTTGACAAAGCGCCTCAGGTTTTGCCCTGTGTCTGCGAGGCAATTGCGAATCCAAGATACGTGTTTGTCGATCCCCTTTTTGAAAGCTTCTCACAATCAGCTAAGACTTCTTCTGCGACTGACCAAACCGAGGCAAAACTATGATTTCCCGCAGCGTTCCCTTCCAACATGGTAGTTGTGTGTGCTTTTGTAATCTTTTGTATCTCCTGTGTAAAAAGACCCAAACACACTGAAAACGCCCGAGCCATAGAAAGTGAAGCAAGGTGTTGCAAAGCTTCACGGCGAAGGCTGGCCGACGTGGGCAGCCCCCAAACCCTGACTTCTGGTTCTACAAGTTGGCTATAGAGGTTTGCAAAGGCGGTATTAAACCACATCTCAAAAAGGTCAATGGAGGCTGTACTACAAACCCCCATGAAACTAGGTAATGTGCCTAAAACGGGCAATGGTTTTGGCACTTCTCATGTCTCACGAAAAGCCCTCAAAGCAAAGTGGCGATGTTCACGTAGACGCACAGGGAGGCTTCATATGGCAATGGCGCCCGCCAGGAGCGAGTCTTACCTACGCGCGGTGTGGACCCTCTGACTTGGTGCTTTGTGGTCGTTGAATGGGTTCTAGACAGACAAGTAGCGTCTGTCCTGAGGATCTTCTTCTTTGCAATCAATGGGAGTGAATTTACCGGTTTGGAGGTGGTTCCCTAGTGAAATTCATAGCCGAATGGACTGTAGGATGCTACACACGTGCTTTTCCTTTGGTGCAAGCGATCCCAACGCCTGTACTAGAAACCGCTAAACCGGTTTGACATATCAACAGAAAGGAACGTCGATGACTCTGTAGGCAGTATCTCACAAAACCAAGTGAGGGATTAACGATGATCGCCAAGACCGGGTCGCATGCGTTGGGCTCCTGTCAAACTTCGTGTTTCGGTGGCAACTTGCGTCGGTGCTTTTGAGATGGGACGGCGTAGCACGCAGCATAGAATGAATGGTTTGAATTTCTGGTCAATATGAATCTGCTGGCTAAGTAAATGGTGCATTCAGAACTGTGAGCATTTTCCAGGTATAGGCCGGCTCTTCCTTCATCTTCACGAATTGCAGCTGTCCAACTACAACTACTACCTGTCCATCAGTGTCGTGAGAGACTGTGAGAACCGACACCGTACCACCAAACAAAGAATAAACGGAACACTGTTCGGCTCTAGCCCCAAAGTCACACCTTTGGCCATGGAGGCATCCATCCCAAATACTCAGCCTGTGTCCCATGTCCGGGTTGCGGTGGCGGTCGATGCTCATGGCCACATCCATCAGCGTCGCTTTGGTGCTGTCCCCACAATCCACGGGAAAGACTCGCTGCTCTGAGAGGAAGCCCACCTGCAGGTCGTGGAACGCCTACAACGACATGGTGAGTGGGAATAAACCGCCGAGTGGCAACAACCTGAGGGAATCAACCGTGGCTTTGGGAATGAACCAATCCATCCCCTAGGAGGCCATAGGATGGTGCATGGGGTAATTCCCAGATTCCCTGCTGAGAACTAGCGCGACAAGCAAAACTGGGGCGGCTTACTTCATGGTGGAGCTCGCAGCGATACACAGATGCTTAGATTCACAAAAATGCTTCTATTGATGAGTCTCTCTCTCTCTCTCTCTATCTGGTATTCTGTTTGGATATGCAGTCGTGTGTGTGTGTGGTTCTTTTTGTGTTTTGTGTGTTTGCCTGTTTGTGTGTTTGTGCTTGTTCCTCTGTGTCTTTGTGCGTGGTTGTGTTTGTTTGTTTGCTTGCTTGCTTGCTTGCTTGTTTGTTTGTTTGTTTGTTCGTTTGTTTGTGTGCTTGCTTGCTTGATTGATTGATTGATTGATTGATTGATTGACTGACTGACTGATTGATTGATTGATTGATTGATTGATTGATTGATTGATTGATTGATTGATTGATTGATTGATTGATTGATTGAGGAATTGCTTGTTGATTGGTTGGTTTCATTGTGTGTGTGTGTGTGTGTTTGTTTGTGTGTGTGTCTGTGCAATCGCCTTGTGTGCCTGTGTTTTTGTGCCTGGGTTCATATTGGTCTGTCTTTGTGCATGTGTACGATTGTGCGTTCGTGATGGTGCTTGTCTGTCTGTATGTGCACGTGTGCCTTTTCTTTCGGCTTTGTTCTGCTTTGTGTTGTGGTTTGTGTACGTGTGTGATGAAGCGCTCGCAAATGCCACCATTTGCCTGCATTCTGACAGAACACGCATTGCGGACAAAACCAACATGGTAAAAATACCAGCAAAATGGGCACACCTGGCAAGGCAAAGAGTTGGTAGACAGTCGAAATACTGTCCAACAGAAACCGGGATACGTCACCCCTGTGGCTTCCCAAAACACGATGCAGCGTTGGCGGCTCCTCGGTTTGTTTCAGTGTACATTTTGCTTGAGGGTTGGATCCTGAATCTGGGGGTTCCACCAGGGACTTTGCATCTTTGAGGGTGTCGTTGCGAAGCTGGTGACCTGGTTCCATTGGCTGCGAGCCAGTTCCAGCGAGATGCTCAAATAAACATTCTGCTTTCTCCAATTATTCGAAAGCCTGGAGACACTCGCTTTGACGAAATGCTCAATAGGTCATTAGTCGTTTGTATCAACGGGACCCAGCAGTTTGTTAACCGGTCCACGCTTCCATAGGGAAAGGGAGGCAGCCGGACAGCGGTTGGGCTCTGAGATGCAAACTATTCCAAACAGTTGCGCGGTCTTTTAGCCGCTTTGCAACTTGGCAAGGAACAAAAAGCGCTCCGTGTGCGAAGGCTCCGAAACCGCGCCGCTCTGCAAATGGCAGCAAACCATGCTCTAGGAATCCAGGCGCAGCATACATGACATCAGGACTTGACAACCTCCATGCTGATTGAAAAGCAACGAGGAACAAGCCAGTTCATGCTGGCCTTTGGTCAACGAGCAACTCGGGGTTGCCCTTGACTAGCTTTTCCGTGTCTTAGTGCTTAAGTACTGCCAAGACCACAAGACCGCCAAACAAAAACAAAAAACTCCCACCTGTTCAGCCGCGTGAGCAAAGCCCCCCCCCCGTCCCTCACTGGCTCCGCGCCATGTCGTTCTGACCAGGGCCATCTCGACAGGCGCACTTCAGGGTGAGCTGGATCCTCTTCTCCGAGGGAAACCTCATGGGAATCGGAGGCACACGCCCTCCCCGTCATTTGAAACCCTCTTCCCCTTGGACAACCCTGGATGATTCATAGGGGGTGACCCCGCTAGGATGATTGCCTATCCGAAAAGTGCAATGTTTGGGGAATGCCCTGCTACGCGAATGAATGAAACACATGGTGGCAATGGATTTCTGGTCAACAAATACTCGTAAGTCTGCAGGGTAAACCTCGCAAAATGGAACCTCGCAAATATGGCAGACCCACGAACACAAGGTGTAAAGCACCCGCCCTGAGAAAGCAGTACACTTTGTTTGGCAACATGTCTGCAGTTGTATGTAAATCCGTCCGTGCAATATCACAAGTGTGTGCAGTACAGGCAGAAGTTCAGGCTCCCAGGACCATGCAAATGAACAAGACTGAAAAAACAGCTGAAGCAACACAGGAACTCACGGAAGGATACCCCTTGCAACAACGGTACAGGACTACACAAAGGAGAAGGGTGTCATGAACAAATGTGGTTGTGCATGGGAACACGATCCGAGAAAAACACGCACACAGCGAATGAAGACGCACATGTTGAAAGGCGCATTCGCGCATGGGCAATGAAATGCAATCAATCGTAAACTCAATGACGAGGAATAAGTAGAGGCATGTCACACATCATGCACATTTGGGGGGGGGGGGGGTGCTATGCTCGACCGTCTCCAATGCATCCGGCCCGCTTTTTGCATTTGAAAGCTTGGTTTGAGACACTGGTACTCTGGTAATACCTGGAATTCACGTGCAACTCCAGCACGCACAAACACACAATCATGTTTTATCATGCTGGTCATGGCTAAGGTGGCCACCAATCCTTTGCATGCTCAAGTCTCAGATCACACCATGCCGCTGCCACCACCTCTGCCAACATTGACGGCATGGTTCCAAGGCACCACCGAATAGGTTCATTCAACGTTGGACGTGTGACTGCACCATACCTCACTCCAAAACCAACCTAAACCCCTAATCCGAAACCTAGCCCTCACCCGTTTGCCTAAAGCCAAGTTTGAACCCCAACTCCCTAAAACAACCCAACCGCCGATAAGCCCCCTGTGACTGGGCTTCATCTCCCAAGTTGCCTGTCCCACCTGGGGATTCAGAACAGGGGAACCCAAAATTGGCCTTGAGTTTCCCTTCAAAGCCAACCCAAAAAGAAACGGGTACCGAGTCTCACCTCCCTCCCCTCTCCCCTTTGACCCCCGGGGCCCCGCGCATCCGCAGCATGGCCCCCACGATGGCCGTGAGCCATGCCACGTCCGCGCCGCAGCCGAGCACCCGCCCCGCCACCTGCAGCGCGTCGAAGACCTCGGGAGCTGCGCACCGAAGCTCCGAAGACCGGCGGGGTGGGGGTTGGCAAGGGGAACCCAAAGAAACCAAACATTCTCCCCCAAAGCGGAGCAAAGGGTTCTAGCTCAAACAGACTACCTCTGCTGCACAGCACATGTCAACATAGCGCTTTTTCAGCTCAGCTCAACATGGCTTTGCTGCACAGCGCGTTTCACCATAGCTTTGTTGCACAGCGCATCCCAACATAGCCCTTGCTGCGCAGCTCTGACATGCACAGCCTCGCTTCTTCTCCTTCTTGCAAAAGCACTTCTGCTTGAATTTGTACCATTTCTGAGTGGCATTCGGGATCGGCAAGCGCCGAGTGTCGACGCGCTCTTGCTCCCGAGCAGTGCGATTTTTCTTCGACAACCCTCTGCGGTGTCAAAGCGCTCTTGCTGCGACGAGATGCAAAACTTTGGCCTTCATGGCTACAGTCTGGGCTATAGAAGCCTGTCTTGGCTCGATTCCTCGCTGGTCCGCTCTGCTTTGCACCCTGTGCTGTGCCAGCATAGCCTTGCTGTCGGCACGTGTCAACGTATCCTTCCTGAGCAGCACATGTCAACATGGTTGGTTATGCTGCCCAGCGCCTGTCAACGTAGCTTTGCACAACGAATGTCAACATAGCTGGGCCGCGCACGCTAGCATAGCTTGGATGCGCAGCGCATGTCGACGTATCCTTTCTTTGCAGAGCCACAGCATGTGCCAACATAGCTTTGCTGCGCAACATGTCAACACAGGTTCGCGAGGTTATGTTGTTTGTTGGCCGGCTAGAATACGCAGCGCATTTCAACTTAGTCCTTGCTACGCAACGCATCTCAAATTAACCCTTGCCGCGCAGCGCATCTCCGCATAGCTTTGCTCCGCAGCGCATCTCAGCATAGCCTCGCTGCGCTGCGCATGTTAACATCGCTTTGCTGCACAGCACAACACTGTGCTGCGCAGTGCATTTCAGCAAAGCTTCACTGCACAGTACATGTTGGCGTAGCCTAGTGCAGCGCACCTCTGCATAGCTTTACTGCACAGCGCATCTCGACACAGCCCTTGCTGCACAGCTCTCATTGGGGGCATGATTGGGCTGTTTCTTTTGCTAAATGCTTTCAGGATACGCGGGGTCTACTGTTTCGGGGGGGGGGGGGGGGATTGACACATACCCATGTCGTGTCAACAAAACGCAGAGAGATTCTGGAAAACCCTAAAATTTGTTTCGACCACCAACTCACAGGTGGGGTGTCAACAAAAGACAGGGTGTTCCGCAATAAGAATGGAGGTGTTGCTTTTGTATAGGCCACCCATCAAAAGAACACATGCACTTTTCCTGATGTTCACGCTTACTACATCACGCTTACTCTTGATTGCATATCTCATCTTCGGGGCCCAACGCGGTAGACAGCTGCGGGACATGGTCAAATCAACTAAAGTAGCTCAGGATTGCCGCTCGAAAGAAGGCATCGTGAGACAACAACTGACGCTTTTACTTCGCTCACGTCTCGTTTTGTTGGATCAAGCGGATAAAGGGGTGCCTTGACAAATGGGATCTGCTTTTCTTTATAAGCCGTGTAAGTTTTTGGTAAGCACCCTAAGCCAGGAATCAGCTGTGCTGGGCAAACTTCAGCCCTACACCTGTGGAGACCCTTATCCCGGCCGAAGGTGTGGAAGTCTTTGCCAAGCCACCAGCTGGTCAAAGCAGACCTTCTTGGAGCAGCCCGGGCGCCGGCCCCAGTCCTGTCATAGATCATGCCCTTTGGGGAATCGAACCCATGGCGGTACCAAATCGGAAGCCTCACCAAGAAACAGCCGAGGCGAATGTTCGCCGTCAGCTGCCAAGCGGAGGCTGGCTTCCAGCCTCATCCAGGCTCTCATGGTACACCTCATCGTTGGGCCGCACCTCTTCATCCGGCAGCCTCGGGCAAGGGTAACCTCTGTCTACAATTCCCTCAATGTCTGTCCTTGAAGATGGAGTGGCACTTACCAAGCTGAGGTGTCTGAAGGGAGTTCTGTTAAAAACATGACAAAACGATGATAGAAAGGCAACCGCGTGTTTTGCAAAAGCAACATAAAACAAGAGTGGGGCGGTGCAACCAAGACACTGCTCGAAAATTGCCCTCGCGCATGTTCTCTAAATGGAGGAAATATAGCCAATGGAAGCACCACCCCGAGCACAGTCTTGTAAGCGATCGCAACGGACTATGGTTTCAAGGCCTCAAGCAACGCAATCATCCTCATCTCATGATCATCCTCTTTCAAGACTCTCGTCTTCCAGAACCTCCTTGTCAGCTTCCATTGTTGGTGCCAAATTTAAGCCCATAAGGAGTGGCAATTCAACCTGCGGTGCTGGCAAACTTGAGCAATTATCCATCCCCTCACGGCTTCCTTCAGGGGAAAAGGGTAAGTCTTCAAAATCAAAGGGCCACGACAAATATGTCGCTTCCTTTTAGCTTCCCTTCAAAACAAGTTTAACATGGTACCAAGCCTCAAAAATCACCAGCATCACACACACAAACCAAAGAAACCGGCTTGAAAGTCTCCAAACTCGAACCAGCCTGTCCATCTTGTGGCTAACCTGAACCCCCCGGTTTCCCACTTCCCTTCTGGTTTTCCAGTCAAAACCCAGCCAACTCCGCGACTCCGACTGCGCCTCCCACGCAGCGAGGCCTCCAGGCGCCGCTGCAGCAGCGCCATGGGGTCCGCCAGCGGTGCCGCCAGAGACGCCGCCGGCGCCGGGCCCAGCTCCTGGAGACGGGGCAGGGCTCCCGAACCGCTGCGTCTCTTGGTGCGACTTTCTTGAGGAGGGTGGGCTGCCTTCGGTCAACTCATGAACTCATGGCTGCCTTCTTGTTAAGGGTGTGGCCTAATTATTTTTGGGGATGGTGCAAAAAGGGAACCCCTGGTGTTTTGATTGGGAAGCATGTGGACACCATTTTGGGGGAATGATTTGTGACCACTGATTGTCCACCAACCTATTGACATGCAGCCTGTCCCGCTTGAAGATCACCTCAGGAAAATCACCCCAAGAGCGGCCACAAAGTGATGTAGCGGGGATGAAAAGGCAACTGCGGGGATGGCATGGACCACTTCCAATCAATGGATCCTGGGAACCCCTAGAACTAAGTGAATGTTCCGCGCTGGAACACTCAAACCTTGCTGTCAAAGCTTAAAGAGCCAAAATGGTTACCATCAGCGACAGTCTTGCTCCGAGCTTGGCGATCTCAAGCAACTGGATTTGTTTTTGCTCGTACGCATCCTGATCTTGCAATGGAATCAAACAAATGGCTTCATACACGTCTCATTCACATTCCGTCGAGCTTTGATGCGAAATGCCGAATGATTGAGCAAGAAATTGCAAACTGCGACCACCTATCACTTTGGCGCTCCTTTGTTGAACAGCCTCGCTTACACCTGATTGCCATTGGAGTTGATCACATATCAGCTGCGACGAGTACCTTGTGGAGGCCCCCCAATCATCAGAGATCATCTGGTCAGCCGATCGCTAAATATACCACGCTTAGAATGACACGGAGGGCTTCCCCAAGTGGCAGGCAAATCCCTCACCCCTCCTTGTGGTCACTTCACTGTTCAACCCAGTTGACAGTTGTTGTGGTGTCTTCACATGATATTTGTTTGATCGCACAAATTGCGATGTGTCGATTAATCTTGATGGGAAAGACCCTCAAGAAATGGTGGGTGGACATCAACCCCTATGAACATGACGTCCACCAAAGATCCAAACTGCCAACAGCAGTGGCCTTTTCTTTGGCTTCCCTTTGAAACCAGGTGCAAAGGGTACCCTCAAAACAAGACACACCCACTTCCACCAAAGTGTCATACCCATCCCAATGGATTCTCCTCGCCATACAGCCTCAAGAGATCCTGCAGAAGAGCATGACCGCTGGCACCGTCACTGTAGGCATGTGTTATGCCCACGTAGATGTACCACACCACCTAGGAAACGGATGCGAAGAACTGGGAAAGTCCTGGGAGCAAATTGGGGCTTCCCGACAAGCGAAAGACATGAAGGTGCGTTTTGACGAGGGTTTGAGACCGGACTTGAGGTTTGCCGCAAATCAGGTGACAGCCGCCTTCTTTGCAAATCGGAATCTGATTCGCAGAGCCAGCGATCGATGTTTGCGTCAAACATAAGCTGATGTTCGACTTGTGCCAAGCAATACCCCCTTGGCATCTTCAATGCATTGATTGCGTTGAGCAGTTAACACTTCGAGATTCAGGGCACTGCACTGTTGGCCCGGCTTTTACATGAACGGGCCCTAGCTTTTCAACTGTTCCCTGATTGCAGGATGGGTTTTGGGGTCCATGTGGCCATGGGTCAAAATCTTGTACCCCCAGTGAACATCCCAATCCCGACGAAAATAGACTTCAATGGGTGGTGCACCTACCCCAACATGGGATCCCATTCGTTGACCCACAGCCACGTCCATTGCTCTCGTCTTGGGCCCTTGGGCCCCGGGCATCCTCCGGCGGCAGCTGCCGCAGCGCCTGGCGCAGGTCTGGACGCCCGGCCAGCCGCGCGAGCCGCGGCCCCGCGTCCGCGCGGACCACCGGCACGGCGAAGACGTGCCACGGCCAGCGGTGCCGGCTCCGCAGGGATTTAGCTAGCCAGAACCTCGGACGAGTTCTCGGCACAAATTCGACCTGGCCCAGTCTGGGAAAAATGTGAAATGTGAAATGGGGCTCCAAAACCCAGACTGCCAATTGGGCGCATCCTTTTGTTGGGCCACCTTTTGGAGGTTGGTTCATGAAATCAAAGGGGAACCCACTTAGCAACTCTCGTAAAAAAGGCACACCCAAGTTGTTGTTAAGCCTCTCTTTGGAAGCTGATTTCGGGGCCTCGGTCATAGCTTTAAGATGACCCCCGGGCGCCAGGCGCAGCTTTTGGTCTGAGGCACATGTATTTGTCATCGCTCATGGAGGCGAAACCGGGATCTCGCACCACGTCTTCGTCCACAATCAGCACCTGAAGCCAACCCTACACACCCTCCTGTGGATGTCTCTTGTTGGGGCGCCCGTACTGTGGATGGCTCCAAAATCCGCACCGATCAGCTGGGATGGATGAAACCAGATTTGAAGACTGGCTGATAAACCAAGTGGATTTTGTCCGTCAGTAGATCGGTCCACTAAAGTGAGATCCCAAAGTCGCCAAGTGTGACTTCTGATGGAATTGTTTCTCAAGTTTAAGCTTAGTCTCAACCAAGTCTGGAAGAGTAGGCGCGCTTTCCGGATTGAGGTATGCCACCCTACAACACAAAATTGTTACTCGCCGTCCGTGCTAGGCAGTTTTACATTTTTTCTGGCCTCGGCGGCGTAGCGGAGATGCATTTTAATCGGGAAGTCGAATGAGCAAACTTGCGAAAACTTAAGCTTGTCTGGAAACTTACGGGAAACTCAAGGAAACTCGAGAAACCCTTCACAGCCCCCTCAGGAAACTCAAGGAACCCTCCGAGAAACAACCGGCAAGCTGTTGAGGGACCCACGGCAACGGCTCAAAGAGCGTAGGGACTGTCCCTTCTTGCGCCACCGACCCCACCGCCCCAGCGACGCGGCGACCGCGCCTCCTTGCGCGCCTCCTCCGGCGTCGCCAAGAAGGTCCGCGGCCAGGCCGCGGCGAGCTGCGCCGCCGCGAAGCGCCGCAGAGGTTTGGCCAAGCGCGGCCAAGCGCTGCAGGCCACCTGCCACCTGAGCCAACAGGACACCAATGGGGACAAGGAGACCAACCATTTTAGGCAATCATGGAAGTGGATGTGGGGCTTCCCCCAAAGGAAAGCAGTGTTCCTAAACCCTGGCTTCCAATATCTGGGTTTGCTTTGTTGAGCCTGTGCTTTTTGCGAAGGTTTTGGGGGCCGAGTCCGCTTTTGACCCTTTTGCAGGCTGGTTTACAGGGAACAAGGAGGAAACGCCCCTTTTGGGGGTGCCTTTTTATAGCACAAAGCAAAATGGCAACCGCCCCGACCAGACCATGTTTATCTCCGTCAATTGACCACCTGCAAACCTGGTGGGTTTTCGTGCTTAGTATGCCAACTCGCCTCCAAAAAAGCATCCATTGTGGTACGGTCTGATTGTTTTAATTCAATATTTAGTTCCGCTCCAAGGAATGATCGAGATTTCGCGGTGCCTCCTGGCATTGGCATGATTTAATACCTGCGGTCACATGTTGCAGAATGTGCCATGGTAGAAACAAGGGGTGTCGAGATTTGCTGGAGAAGTGGCAAGTGTACCACAGAAATTCCCTTAGCAGGCAATATTCAGTTGGCCCACTTAGAATGCCGACATTAAAAATTAAAGACATAATAGCATAAATTGTGCTCGTACCCTGAAGTGGAAGCACAATTCTTAGCGGGGCTACACCCTCTTGGCATTATCGCATGTCGAAGGATGTTAAACAGCGGTCACGAGCATTGCAATCGGTTGAAAAACCTGGTGGAAGGAGACGGCTTTCTAGCCATCTCATGCAGAAGTAAGTCATACAAATATAACTTCGCGAGGCGCTGCATAAAATCCGCAAACGATTCTGTTGGCAGCTGCTGGCAGAAACGGCCCAGAGGCATCTGCTCGAGTCCACGCCTTGGAACTCTATTATGACTCTACGGGTCTGAACATGTCTCAGCGATGTGACGGAAGGTATGCCCAAGAGCTCAACGGTTCTCGGTTTTCATGTTTCAAACTCAGAGATGAGAGATGCGGCTTCCAGCGCCTCTCAAGAAATGTCCGAGTCGCATGGCTGCAGCCCGGTCCATGGTCTCCCGCATCGCCTCGTGGCTTTGGCATGCCAGTTGCTTACCCTGCTGTGTTTTTTTAGGAAGGGCGTCACTCAAAATGGGGTCCTGACCCGATTTTGAAGTGAAGACTCCAGGTCCTCTCTGACAGCTTCGCTCGCCTTCCCCCGCTGGCCCGTTCAGTTGCCCTTTACCACAGGCTTCATAACATACAATTCAGATTCACACGTATCAAAGATGTACTTGCATATTATGCATGGGTGCTTCTCAAAGTTCCGGACCCTCTAGGTTAGTTTCCCTTGTTCGACCATGCGGGCTGAGTCCTATCTTTAAACAGACACTTTGCGTACCCCATTTACAGTTTCCCTTCTTCAACCATCCTTCCGGAAGGGTTCAACCGTCCTTTCGAAAGGGCTAAGTCTTGTGTTGAGACAGACACTTTCCGTACCCCATGTTGTTCAACCATCCTTTCGAAAGGGCTAAGTCCTATTTTGAGGCAGACCCTTCCGTACCCCATTTGCGGCTTCCCTTGTTCAACCATCCTTTCGAAAGGGCTGAGTCCTATTTTGGGACAGTCCCTCTTCCGTACCCCATTTGCGGTTCCCTCTTCAACCATGCTGTGTCCTATGCCCTATGCGAAAGGCCCTGGTTGTACCAAATGTGTGGTTTACCTTTTTCAACCATCCTTTCGAAAGGGTTAAATAATATTTGAGACAGACCCTTTTCGGTGGTTGATGTGAAATTCAGCCAACGCGATTGGCCGACACTGATGTGGGATTCGGCCGACGAGAATGTGAAATTCGGCCGAGCCCACATTCTTGCGGCCGTTGTTTGCCAGCAGAGCATCCCGACCATCTCGACCGTCCCAACCGTCCCAATCAAACCTGAGTCCCCTGCGCTCCTCAAAAAAACCGGACCATAACAGCCTTCCCAACCGTCTTAAACGCACCGACCCCGAACCCACCCTAAACCGATTGTAAACCAACCTTAAAGAGACCCTAACCCACCCTAAACCAACCCTTACCCAACCCCCTAAACCCACCCTATATGGACCCTATGAACTAATCCTAAACCAACCGAAAACCAAGAGAAAAAACTAAGACCATGAACCCCAACCCACCCTGCACCCACCCTAAACCCGTCCCGACCTCCCGACCATCCTGACCCAATCGGGAAACCGTCTTTGCGAATTGTGCGCTGCTTTCTAAACTTCGCGTTCCTGATTTCTGACTTCCGCGCTGTTCTCTCAATTGTGTTTGTCTGAATTTAGCGTCAGTTTTCTAAACGTCGCTGCTCCCCCTTTTTCGTACCGCCTTTGCATTTTCTCTTTTTCAACCAGACCCCTTTCCTGTTGGTTTCCCTTGCAAAAAATACCGTTTCAAGAAGTTTCTTGGCTTTAAACAGACCCATGGCGAAGACCAACAAAAAAAGTGTCGCCTCGTCCGGGTGCGGCCGCGCACGGAGCGTGGAGTGCCTCGCCACCAGGCGGTCGCAGGCGCGCTGCAGCGCCGCAAGGTCCAGCCTCGTGCTTCGCGCTGCGCTCCGCGAAGCCAAACGAAGCGCTTGGCGATCGAAGAGGAAACCGCCAAGAGGGAAGCACACCCTCAGAAATACATATCCATATGATATAAGTGTGTCTTTTCTTTTTCAGGTTTCCTTTTTGGGGTGATTCGGTTTGAAGGGACATAAATGGTTTTGGGTAGACAATCAAGAATATCTGGGATCCACCATGAGAATATGGATGGTCTGTGTACCCTACCCTCCAAGGAACATGGAGCTTGACATGGGGGTCCTGGTGTGGACCATGTTCCTTCTGTATTTCTGAAGGTGTGCCCCTATTGTACCCCAATTCACTTAAAAACCAGACCTCCCTCTTGTTGGCTAGATACAGATTGTATAAAGCTTGTGTATTTGAGGCTCGGTACTCGTTTCAGGTTGGTTTCAAGGTAAACCAAAGGAATAATGGGTCCTTGGATTCAGGTTGGCATCACCATTGAAAATTCCTTGCAGGGGAAATTGATTTGAGTCTCCGTTTGCTCTGGGTTTCCCTCAAGTTTATCCAAAGAAAGGGGGACAGGCCCACTTGAGCCTTCAGGGTTTGGTGTTTTTGAGCTTATTGCCAATGCCAAGCGGTCAGTCTGGGTAGAAGTAAAGGCAGGTGCCTGCAACCAATTGAAAACTAGAATTGAACACCTTTGGGAGACCCGGTCAGGTTTCAATGGTGGCTCGTCTTTTTTTGAGGGTTCCCTTTTGGGGTTGGTCTAAAGGAAACCCAAAGCCAAAATCACATTCTTGCTTGGGGGGGGGGGTCCCCTAAACAGGACACGCCCATATGTAAGCTTCCCAAGACGCAGCTGACTCATGGCTTCTTTGTTGCATTTGAAGCCCTAAAACAAACTGCTTGCCCTGGACGTGGAGACCTATCCAAGCAAAGGCATGCAAATGGAAGCTCAAGAACAAGCAAGGCTCGTTCAGCAAGAACAAAGTCTCAAATTGAGCTTATGAAGCAAGCCGCCACCTCATTACTTTTGAGTGGATGGATAAGCAGCCACTTTGGACGCTGGGCATCTGCAATGACCCAAAATATATTTTGGGCGAGGATGTGGCATGTGTCGTGCTTACTTGCATCTTGTTGGTTATGTGGTGTGCTTCGCAAATGCACACGCTCAGTAGTGGAATATCTTGTTCACTTGTCCAAGAAGCTGAAACTATTTGGACCTTCCGCATGTCGCGACCATAGAAAGCGACAAAGCAATTTTGCCATTGTGACCCTAGAGCTACTCGATTCGGCAAATGTCACCAAGGCATCTATAAACTGAGGCCGTCCCCCGGACCACTGGCAGGTTCGCCAGAGGTGATCATTCACATCCGAACCTTCGTGAAGCTTCTGCTACCTATATTCAGAAACCGTCTTATGAGCATGTTTATGAGACAAATAGGCAAAAGCCGGGCGCGCTTACCACCTGTGCTGCGTGGCTGGGATGGCTGTGCGTGAACAAATTTGATCGATTACTGCTTGAGAATGGGACGCCCCTCAGGCCAGTTGCGGGCGAGTATGGAAACGCGTGAACCAAGCGCGGTTATCAACCAGAAAAGTGCAAAACATGTGCTTCAACCTACGGCCATCTATAAGCTGCGGTCCAACTACGATCTCGGACGTGCACAGAAAACTTGGGCGGCAAAGCAGCGAGAGTCCCCTGAAGAGGCGATCGTGCACCATCAACCCCTCCCCGCGCAACACAAGAACTTCGAAGGAGCGTGTGGCACAAAGTGAAGAAAACCACAGGGACACCAACTATGGCGTTTGAAGCAACAGAGCCACCAATTGGCCAGAGCGATCCTCTTTGTTCTTCGGAAAGCACAGAACGTTGCCTGAGGCCAGCCGGATCTTGACCTGTCTAAGCGGCCCATGGCCGAAGCGGATGAACCAATCCACCGGGGACTTGGCATACTCCATCACGTAGAGGCGGAAGGCTCCCTCTTCGTCTGGCCCGCCTTCCAGAGGTTCCTGGCAAAGAAACTGAAAGGCGGCAATCCGTGGCGCAGCCGTGGTCAAGTGCGCTTACCCTGCAGGGCATAGGATGTTTAGTACGTGTTTTGGGAAATTTAGTGAGTCCCAGTGCCCCTCTCAATTTGAAGCTCGAGTGGCAGCGTTTGCTGAGCCTTGTCAAAGAGTCCCCGTGGTTTGCAAGAGCAACACCTACTCACGGCCAGGAATGGGATTTGACCAATGAACCAATATATTGTTGAACATGATTTCTAAGTGCTCAAACTGAGAAGCCTCTTTTAAAGCACAAGTTGCTGGCAATCAAGACCCTCTCAAATGCCATGTTTTTGGAAAAGTCGAAACCTGTCAAAATCACGGAGCGCCATTCGCAAGACATCACCTTACTGCGCAAGGATTCCACTCCACGCATATGTCAATTCAGCAATGTGTGCATTGGCTCCTTGAGTTGCACCAAACAAGCACAAGTCACTCAATCGCTTTCATCGCGAATCACTGCCTTGACTTTATCATGGTCTGGTTGGTGTAACAAATGTCAAACTCACAAAACGCAATGCAACATTCCTTTAAGGATCTGGACAACCATCCCAGCTCCAAGCCACCCGGCCCGCGAAGCATAGCCACGGGAAGAAAAGGGACCCTTTCTTGTTCCTTCTCAGGAGGGAACCCACTGTGGTTCGGTTTCTTGGTCCCCTCACGCCTTCTGACCCCGCAACATCCGGTCAGCTAACCCCAAGCTCCCCCGACTTTCCTCCGATATCTCCGATATCTCCGATTTCCCTGAAAACCGCCGCGGGTCCCCGCAGATCCAAAAGGACTCCGCGATTTCTTTGCTGCCTCGACGCGGACCTCCAGCTCCGCGTCCAGCAGGTCACGCAGGGACCGGCTCTGCAGCACAAGCTGGGCCGTGAGCGAAAGGTTCAGCTCCCTGAAGCCAACACAACGGCGCTTGGCCTTTCTGGGCCAGCAAGCCGGGCAACCGGGATTGGGGGGCGGAACTCTCATTGACCAAGTTGGATGGTTGCAACCTCTTGTTGGGCTTGCCGATTCCACTCATCATGGTTGGTTCTTTGAGACTTGATGCTGCCACCATTTGCATGACGCGGTAGACGCCTTCACGGCTGGCCCTTGGAACCTGGAAAGCTGGGCTTGGACATGGTGAACCTTACAAATGCAGCCATTGTTATTTGGATTCTTGTCGTGGTTCTTGTTTTCCTTATCGTGGCTAGACCCCCTTACTGATGCACAGAAAATGGAAACACCAACTGTTGCTAGCCGCACGCGGCCGCCCAAATCTTGGGACCGAAGCCGACAGCTTCCGGCCTCCGTGCCAGCTCCACCAAGCGGATCGCCTGCCTCAGCCATCGCACCGATGGCAAAGGTACCGGGATTCGGGATTCGGAGAAAGAAAAGAAAAACGGAGGAACTCATATGGACTGGTCCAGTTGGCCACCATACATTGAGCTCCAAGTTCAAGTTTTGGCTAACATCACCAGACATGGCGGCGATCCTCAAGGAAGCCCTGCTTTGTGATGTCACTCGAATTTGCCTGCATGCATCCCTGATGAGATCTGCATTGTCATGGAACAGAAATGGCTCGGGTCATTTTCATCTGCCATTGGCTTCCAAGCTTTTCAGAGACCTGGAAAGTTCTGTCCGCATGTCACCCTTAAACACACTGATCAATTGCACCTTTTATGCGTTTCATGTACGAGTCAAAACTGGTGGATTGTACTACCTGTGAACCCTCAAGAATTAACCTCCCATGAAATGATTTTGCAAGCAAAGGTGGCCTGCGCACTAGTTTCCATGACTTAAGCACGCTCCCAAACTCAGAGGAGCTCCTCAGCGGCTTGGGTGGCATTCCTTGCCATGGGGAAGGAACCGTTCATTCGGCGAAAGTCAACGTCAATGCCTGGGCAGGTTGCTCAACTGGACATGGCGAACCTTGGCCCTTTGACAAACTTGTCTGAAGCATGATCGAAGTTCGACAGATTCTCTTGTGCAGCACGCTCTCAGGAAGGGCAGGAGGCGAACTATTGATTCTCCCATCGTGAAAAATAATGCTTCATCACTCTTGAACAAATAGCGTCTCATGTACGTTGCTGCCGTGCCATTCAGTCATAGCTCAAATTGTGACACGTCCGTGTTCCACGTTCTGGCGCTGTTGGAATGAACAACCTTAGATTCAAGCCGTAAAAAGGCTTCCTTGTCCCGATACCAAACCAGGCGGGCGGGAACCAAACGTGAAAAAAAAATCTACAACCTCAATGGCCCTGTCCCAAAACAGATGTATGCCGTTAATTGGCGGGATTCCTTTTTGTTGTTCTCTCCAAAACCAGCCACCAAAAAAGGTGTTCCATTCCTTCCGCCCCCCCCCAAAAAAAAATACACATACATGGACGAAACCATCAAATTTCACTCAGCCCCAGCTGCAGGGAGTCCAGGTTCAGATGCCTTGGGCACCCCCCGGCCCGCTCCACCAGCGCCGCCAGCGGCGCTTCCTCCGCGCTGAACTCCTCGCGCCCGTCTCCACCGGAAGCGCCTGGCGGTGGGAATGCTCAGGACCTCCAAAAGGGACCCCTTTCCGTTGGTCTTAAAGGGCCCCCCCTCCCCCCCAAAAAACAACTCAGGTCATGAGTCATATCCCCAACAGCATGCGGTGCTCTTTTTTAGTACTCGCAGTACGCACCACCCCGCAGCCCTCGCAGAACCTGGTGCAACCCTCGTGGAACCCTGGTGGAACCCTGGTGGAACCCTGGTGCAACCCTCGTGGAACCCTCGTGAAACCTTGCCTCAGGGCCGCCCCGGACCACCCCGAAGCCTACCTGGGCTACCCCAAAGCTTTCAGCTGTTGGGGAAAAAAGAAGGACAAAACACACTAAGAAATAAGCTCAGGTGATATCCCCAACAGCACGCAATACTCTCTTTAGTACTCGCACCACCCCGCAACCCTCGCAGAACCTCGTGGAACTCTGGTGGAACCCTGGTGGAACCGCCGTGGAACCTTACCTCAAAGCCGCCCCGAACCACCCCGGAGCCTATCTGGGCTGAGACCCCAAAGCTTTCAGCTGTTGGGGAATAAAGATTGCATGAAGATTGCCCCGAAAGATGATGTCCACACGGTCCTCAATTCAAATGACCCGCCTCTGGGGACTGCGGCCGGGCGCACGGGCTCCCAGAGGTTGACCTTCAGCAGGTTGTTCTGCTCCGCCCTGAGGTACTCCATAAAAAGCCACATGCGTGTTAAAGACATAGACCCCTTGAGCGGTGTACATTGCCTGCGAAACTCTCATCTGAAATCTGACAGCCAGCCGAGCAAAGAGAATGACATACATTGCATTATACAAATTGCAAGGGTAGCCACACCATGTGCATCCCGCTGCAAAGCAACCAGTGGAATGACTTCAACTAGGTGACAGAAATGTAATGCCTGTATGGAAAATGGACTGAAGCTAAATATTGACGCCACGAAACAGAACAAATCGCAGTTGTCAACTTCAGCCCAGCATGCTGTAATCAAGGGGGTCCAATCTGGACCGAAGCCTCTTCGTCCACGGCAAACATACGTTATCCTTCGCCCTTAGATGCCTTGATGACGCTTCGTGGCTCGGTTCTACGCTGCCCAAAAGGATACTCTGCCCAGCTGTCATGAGAAATTCAAGGAAACACCGAATCACTGCGAGTGTTCCCTCCCCCCTTCCCGGCCTTCAACAACCCACGCGCATCCCGGGCCCTTGCGGACGTGGCGCCGACTCATGCACACGTTCACCCACCGCTCCTTGGAGCCCCAGTCATAGGCCACCTGTCAAGAGTCGGGCCACCCTAAAGTGCAGTGGGTGGCACTTGATCTAAACGAGGATACTTGATCTAAGATCTAAATCCTCATCTTTTATGCGTACTTGCCTCGCAGCTTGATCCATTCCCTTCTCCCGCTAAGTGTCTGTGATGAACCCTTTCGCTGACTTTTGCTTCGATTTTCTTCGCCGTTTCCCGGTGTCCAATAGTGTCACGAGGGAATCTTCGCGTGAACCCGCACATTTCTCCGAACCATTGAGACCTTGGAGGTTTAGCAGTATTGGCAATGGACACATCCATCTAAGGACCAAAGCCAATAGCGTAGTGTCTCGCACAGTGAACTTGTCCACCAGCGCTACACAGAGAGAGAGAGAGACAGAGAGAGAGACAGAGACAGAGAGAGAACCACTACCCTCAGGGTTCCAGGTTGTTCCATAGGAGCTTCTAGAAGAAGCGGACCAACCAATCTGGATGATTTCGAACCAGGTTTACGTTTTTGTTGGTTAATTTGAAAGGGACACCAAACCAAAAGGCTTGGTTTAAAAGGGTTTTGTGGATGAACAAAATCCGCGCACAGTGGGTATTATCCCAGCATTTATAAGGTTTCATCCATCATTGTCTTGACTGCAATCTGTGGGTAATCACTAGTCAAAGTGAGAAACTGGGGTGGGTTCCCTTGAGCCTGTACCACTTAAGGGGTGACTTTGGTGGTAAAGTCATGGGGCTAGGAATATGTCAGCTACTTGCCCATGAAAAGGATGGTCTGTCAATGAAGACCCTACTAAGCCTCAAGGCTTTTTGATGCTCTCACCCATCCAGGTTCCCTACCAATCTTGCTTCTCGGAGGGAAATTGACCATAGTGGCGATAGCGGTATGTCCCATCAAACCCCCGAGGGTGGCTGAGGGCAGTGAGAAATAATCTAACCCCAACCCCCCAACTCCCCAACCCCCAATGGGTTTTCCCCCAAGCCCCCAAGCCCTCAAGCCCAAATCCTCAAACCTCCCCAAGCCCCCAATGGCCCTTCCTGGTTCTTCTCAAAGTGCAGGTGCCCGTCGAAGCCGGGCTCAGGCAGCAGCCGCAGCACCAGGTGCCGCAACCGCGCCTCCGCCCAGTGAGCCCGCCAGGTCTGGGCGTCCCGGAACCACCTCAAAGCTCCAAGCGTATATAGACACTTGTATAGACATGCACACATGACGTATGACTACGTTTCATATACATGATACATAAACTCACAATGTTGACAATTACGTACGTACGTACGTACGTATGTACGTACGTACGTATGTATGCATGCATGCATGTATGTATGTGTGTATGAGTATGTGTATGTGTATGTTTATGTGTGCGTGAATATGATACATGTCTGTATATACTCTACGTGTGTATACATATACATATAGAGAGCGAGAGAGGGAGAAAGGGTTGTCTGCTACTTACAGGGAGGTCCAAAAGTGTCAACCCCAAACACGGCCAAGTAGCTGACCATATGTCCCCTTCAAACATCACACCAAGGAGAAACCGCAATGAACATTGGCCCGAAAGGTCATGATGACAATGCTATCCCGGCCAAAAGATTAAAAAATATGAAAACGGCAGCTCCACACGTCGTCGTGGCGAACGTGGGACAAATGTGGTTGCACTTTCGGGCGGGGGGGGGGATTGGCACCCCAACTGTTCGGGCAGCTGAGTCGGAGGTCGCATGCTACCAGCTGACTCAAGCGCAAAGAACTGGATCAATACGGTCCGCATGACGAACCTGGGGGAAATTCGGTTGGACCCTGGCAACCTGGCGCAATTTCACGGCTGGGCCTTGCTGCCTACGCGGTCAGGCAAGAGCTCAGGGAGAAATCCATCTGCACCGATTTGAAGATTTGACTGAATGTGCTTGAAGATTTGTCGCAAATGACAAATGTCGAATCGCCTGGTTCAGGTTTCTAAGGTCAAGCTCAACATGCAGCCTTAGGAAACCCGCATCATGGCTACCTTGTGCTGTGGTGCTTGTATCAAGGTCTCGTTGCAGCTACTGTATATTCAAACGTGAGCGCTGATTCACCTTCAAAAGATTCCCGGGCACTCAGCCATTGTGTGGATATGCAAAGCACGAATGGACAATGGCCAAGCCCCTCAATGATCTGCATGATGAGTTTGAGGTTGTCTCACCACCCGTTTTGTGAGGTGAACCATGGACAGAAGTGTGCCGGTTTCCCCAAAAGGGCAAACGTTGGTAGCCCCCATTGACCCGGTCGGCCAAGCAACTTGGGAAAGCTCAGCAGGTAAACCAGCGGAAGGCTGAGCAAGAAGTGCATCCTCCAGACATGACGTTGGATGTACTACTTGAAACAAATCGAGCTTTCAAGCTAGGATTGCATGGTGCATCCTGCTGTTCCACCAGCCAGCAAGAATTCCTTGGATATTCCCAGGAATTGCAAAGCAAGAATGGGGAACAACACCTGCAGTTCACAGCGCATCAGCTCACGGATCGCGATGTGCTATGCAAAACCAAGAGATCCCCAAGGCTTCGATCGGTTTGCCCCGGAAGAAGGCATGCTCGGGAAAAATATGCCGGCACTCGCAGAGATGTAACGAGAGGCCATGAAGAGAAGTCCCTCGAACAAAGTGTTCGCTTCAACTTCAGGCTTCATCTTTGGCGCGCCAAAAAAAAGGATGAAAAACAAACCGCAAAGTTTGACAGTTGAGCCATCAATTGATCATCTCCCATGGAAGTGTTTTCGAAACTATCCGGACAATGCCCTGCATTAGCATTGTTGTTTCTCATGGGCTGCGCGACGGCCAGGCGCCCACACCCACACACACACACCCACACGCGCACGCGAAGGCGCACGCGCACGCGCACGCACGCGCACACGCACACACCCAGGCGCATATGGCTCGCTGCGGCTGACCGGTAGCCTGGTTGGCTAAGGGCAAAGAGAGATCAATGTTGGGTTTGAAAAATGAACAGCGGCATCTTTGGCCAATGAGGCATGAACTGCCATCCACAAATCCACACGCTCGTGCACACGCTGCCTGTCAATGAAAATTCAGACAACTTCGGATGCCTGGATACCCCAATTCCAGGAATGTCAAGGAGGTGGCCCCCTTCCTGGATAAGGCTGCTTGTGATTGCCAGCTTGTTTGCAAATGCCTCACTGGCGTTTGTACTGCCCGGGATTTCAAGGGACCCGAAATTGTTGGCATCAGAATTGGTTGGGGCTTCACGTCCACCAACCCCTTGTGAAAAATGTCCCTAATTCATGGCCGATCTCGGCGCCTGCTGGGCCAGAACCAGTAGTGCCCAAAGAGGCCCGGTAGCACCATGAGATACCTCAGTCCATTCGGGCTGCCTTATGTTTACGGCGACAAAATAGGCCCACAAAGTTGGCTTGCTGTTGGCTTAGCTCATCAAGAGACACAGATTTCAGCTTCCCAGTCCAGCTGGCCAAGCCGCATCTTGCGTGGTCGTTATTAAAAGTTCACCCCAAAATGTCAAGTCATTAAAAGTTCACCCTTGACAGCAGGACAAGAATGGGCAAGAAGTGACAGGAGTTGCATGTTCGTGGATTAAACATAGACGTAGATCTTGCGAAGAAGTAATCATAACATCAAAAAGGAATCCCAACATGGGCGTGGATGGTTCACATGTGACAATATGGCTGCATTTTTGTTCAGTGATCCAAATGTTGCTCAAGCCGGGTTATCAGCAAATAATTCCTTCTTTACCCATGGCAACAAATGTTCCCCCCATGGACAAGTGCCTGGGATAGCGCAAAACAATGGGACATGCCAAGCTTCTAAAACAAGCCATCCAGCTCTAAGCTGTAATCCGTCTCTGTGTGCGAGTTCCAAAATGGAAAGAAGCCCTCTTTCAGCCTTCACGAGGAAATCGATATGAGCACAAGTGAGGCCGTGATCAATCAACAAAAACTGGACCATGTCACCAGGCAGGTTCTGTTTGGTGGACGTCTTGCTGCTCTGCCAAGTAGTGGAAGTCTCCAAAGCAAGCTCGGAACTGAATTGGTGTTTCTTGTGGGGCTCCTTTCAACACTCGCCAAGGGCTCCTAATGATCACTCTATGGCCTATACAAGTCCACTCTGACGTCATTTGCCCTCCGAAGATATCTTCGCAAGCACTTTCAAGCCAACTCCAGATGGCCATGAATTTCAATCAGGGACCCTTTGGACATCATTTAGGTGGGGATTGTCCGCCAACCACTGAAAAGAGGGGGGGGTCCCATTCAAATTCATAGCCAGAGTCCCCCAAAACCCAACCGGGCCCAGGCGCAGGCGCGGGCTCTGGGCCAGCTGCGCCAGCGCCAGGGCGCCGAAGCCCAGGCCCTGCGTCTCTTTCAAAACCCTGGGATCCGTACGGAAAACCCCCGGAATGTGTTGAACCCTGTTTATTCATAGGGGGTGGGTCAAAAATAGGCTCACCCCAAAAAAAAAGCGTGCCCTAGAATCAACAAAAAACGCAGGACGAAACCTGCGGTACGAGTACTGGTGGAAAATCTTAAGCCATACCCATATATTTGGTGGGGGCCCTCGAAAAGTGGTCTGAATCTCCACTAAAACCAAAACACCCCCCCTAGTGCTGGACTAGAATTTATTTATCCGGGGTTGCCACGAACGGAAAAACCACAAGATCACCAATTGAGGACCAAAAGCTCAGGCATTCGCCGGAGAATTCTCGGATGGGTTTTTCACTCCTACAAATTGTCTGAATGGACTGTTTTTGGATGGGACTCAAGGCATCGCAAGGAATCAGCGAGGGAATCCAACACCACAGGCTCTGAGTCGGGAACCACCAGTGGTCAGCCTCCCTCTAGCTGGTGGTTCGGCTTGGTGGTTTTAGTGGGCAGGGGTGGTGTCCCATTCACCCGCGATAAGAACCAGGAGTGCAAATGCCCAACATCAACAACCAATTCGGGGTTACCTAAAATGGCTTAAGGAATCCACAAAGATGGGTCAGTTAAAGGTCATTCCCATTGCCCTACTGCTCTCCAGAAGGCAAGTAAAGTCGAGAGATAAAGGTGGGGAGCTACATTCCCAGCACCCCCCCCCCTTAATTAAAAAAAAACTACTAAGCCTAACACCCTCCCTCAAAACCCTTCAAGGCCCGCACCCCAAAACTCCTCGAAATACTCTCCAAACTCATCAAGGCCCCCTAAACACATCTCCCAGGCCAGCGAACTGGAAACTGGGCTCGAGCTGAGCCCAGCTCCGGGCTACGTGAGCCCAAACGCCAAGAGGTCAACATCCATAGATCCGTGTGGAGCACGCGAGAATAACTATTCCTAAATGATTCACACCGGTTGTCCAGCTGTGGCTAAAGATGGTTCGACGAGTCCACAAGTTTGCCTGAAAGCTTGTGAGGTGTCTAGAGCAGTTCAAGGGCCGATTCAAAGTCCCTGTGGATTGAAACTTGCCTGCATCCATTGCCAATCCCACGTCCTGCGTGCAGTCCTATACAAGTGGCCGGAGCACGCAGTGTCTAAGAAAACAGTATCCTCCTTCAACAGGCAAATAGCACCCGGCAATTCGATCTTGGAACGACTGCTCTTCGGATTTGGATGCCTTTCTGAGAATGGCACGGAAAGGCCAGCTCGTCTTTGAAGTCCTCCAAACATTTGTTGCGGTTCCCTCTGAACATTCATAGCCCGCTCAGTATTTGCCGAGGGTCTGCGAGCACGTCCCGGTCACGCAGCAAGCAAAGCACGCTGAGCGACAGAAGCAGCTCAGGCAGCAGAAGCGATCCAGGTGTGAGCAGCGCTAAGAGGAGAAACACATCCACTGGGCCCAAGGGCCTTGGGGCAAGCAGCTGCAGAACTTTGTTGGCGCCAAACTCCTGCCCGAATATATCCCAAAGAATCAACAGCCCTTGTCCCAAGGCCTTGCTTCGGATCTGGTCAAAGCCATCCCCAAGCGGTGTAAAGTCAAAGCTCACATCCCCAAGCAGTGTTCACGAGTCAACAATGAACCGGACCCCTGAATGGCAAGCCGCCCCTACCTCTGCCTGCTGAGGACGTGCAGCGACATAGGAATTTGACTTGCATTTGTAGCTGGCGCTTGGTGAAAGAACAAAGCTTGCTTGCAAATGTAAGCGCGTGTGTGAAAGGAAATACATCGAAGATGTCTGCAACACCGTGCAACACTTGCAAACGTTGAATGGTCGTTGCTGCCTCTGACGCACAAACACAAACACAAACACGCAAACACAGACACAGACACAGACACAGACACAGACACAGACACAGACACAGACACAGACACAGACACAGACACAGACACAGACACAGACACAGACACAGACACAGACACAGACACAGACACAGACACACACACACACACAGGCACACACAGCGAGGCCTCCCTTTCTCTCTCCCTTTGGCCCCAGCGGCGAGCTGAACGACACCCAGCGATGAACAGGTCTGCCTGCCAGCTGCCAGGCATAGAGCCAGGCCACCCACAGGAAGGGCAACAGCAGCAGACGCTTGGCAAAGCCTCCCTGCAAAACTGAAGCCAAAAGCACCTGAGATGACACACCGTTTCTGGGAATCCCTTCAACTCGTCAAAACTACCTTCTAATCAGTTCAGCTCCTTTTCCCCCAGCACCCGAAAGGAAGTCCAAGGTGCCCCCCCAAAAGGTGATGGCGCCATATCCACCGAAACCCGCCCTGGAAAAACTCCGGCCAACCAACCAAAAACCCTCTGCTCGCTTCCTTTGATTGATATTGGTGAAAACAACAATAGGAAACAGACCATCTTCAGGGCTGTGTCTTTCTTTCGGGAACCCATTTTGTTCGGTTTCAAAGGAAAACCCAAAGGAAATCAGCCGTCAAGGAAGAAACTCCGACTTTGAGGCAAAGGCGCCAGCGCCAGCACCAGGCCGTGGCAGGCGCCGTAGAGCCGCAGCATCCAGCGCTGCACGCGGCGCAGCTTCCGCTGCCACGACGCCTCCCGTGCCTTGCGCTGCGCGAGGTCCTCCCGCAGCAGGTGCCTCAAGCTGTTTGGGCGGGAGGCTGGCAGGGAGAACAGTGCACCAGTTATTTTATTCAGTGGTTCCCAGCCGTCCCCTTAGCTTGTTACCCTTTTAGTGTTTAGTGGGGATTTCCATTTAACCACTAAGAGTTAGTCACTTTTAGCGGGCGCCCGGGGGGGGTGGGTGCACCTAGCCTGAACCCGGCAAAACAAAAGAAGAAAAACACAAGAAACCCGGGACATTGAGGGGAAACAACCATTTTCTTAAGCAGGGTTGGGCAAATCACCAGTTGAAGCTCTGTTGTTCAAACACTGTTTTGTTTCAACACGTTTTTCATTTAGGCGGAAAAGAGGGACACGACGAGGGGTCTACAATTTGGGGGCTACCCACTAATTGAAATAAATAAGTAGTGTTTGATCAAATTAATCATCGTTCTGGGGTAGAAGAGGCTCTACACTATGTGGAGGGAATCTCTACTTTTAAAGAGGCTCAAAAAGTAAACCAACCTTGTGCACATTTCTCTGGGATTCTCCAGCTGTGTCTTTGGCTGTTGGAAGCTTGTGGTTGGTCAGCCCAATGTTATCCTGCCGATGCTTCGCTTTGCGCTGCTTTGCTTACCTTGATATCGTCATGTGTGCCTTTCGATCAGCGCTTGTATCTCTGGTTGATTGACTTGTTCGTGGCCCCATGGTAGTTGCGGCATATTTTGATAAACATGTTTCTGATGGATGCTGTGTTTTCTTTTGAGGCAAGTAGAAAAACGGGAAGATGAAGGAGGCGGACCGCGCAGGATCTGAGTGCAACCTAATCACTCTCATTGCGATAAAACAGAACAAAGTGATTGACTTTGCTACTTGAATTCTAAGTCGTGTTGAGGTGGTGCTCCTAATGTGGAAAGGGTGTTCGACTGCCCGAGGAAGCAGGAAGGAAGCAGGAAGGAAGCAGGAAGGAAGCAAAGCAAAGCAAAGCAAAGCAAAGCAAAGCAAAGCAAAGCAAAGCAAAGCAAAGCAAAGCAAAGCAAAGCAAAGCAAAGCAGGAAGGAAGGAAGGAAGGAAGGGAAGGGGGAAGGGGGAAGGGGGAAGGGGGGGGGAAGGGGGAAGGGGGAAGGGGGAAGGGGGAAGGGGGGGAAGGGGAAGGGGGAAGGGGGAAGGGGAAGGGGGAAGGGGGAAGGGGGAAGGGGAAGGGGGAAGGGGGAAGGGGGAAGGGGGAAGGGGGAAGGGGGAAGGGGGAAGGGGGAAGGGGAAGGGGAAGGGGGAAGGGGGAAGGGGGAAGGGGGAAGGGGGAAGGGGAAGGGGAAGGGGAAGGGGAAGGGGAAGGGGGAAGGGGGAAGGGGGAAGGGGGAAGGGGGAAGGGGGAAGGGGGAAGGGGGAAGGGGGAAGGGGGAAGGTGGAAGGGGGAAGGAGGAAGGAGGAAGGGGGAAGGGGGAAGGGAGAAGGGAGAAGGGAAGGGAGGAAGGACGGAAGGTGAGGAGAAAAATAGCGGTTGGGTTTAACAGGCTCGTTCCAGAGGATTGTCCTTTGGTGCAAGCAATCAGAACCCGGTTTAATTCAGGTCTCCGAAAAATGGCAGGAAGGTTTCGGAAGTGGGTGTGTGTCAACTAATAGGGGGCCTTTGCGGTTTTCCTTTAGGTGTCCCGTAAAACTAGCCCCAAACAAGGCAAAGCCAGTCTCAAGAAAACACACCCTTTCCTTACATTGACATGCCCCTGCCCCTGAACATCACCAACTCAAAAATCCCCTTCAAATGGCCCGAAAGGTAGAAATAAGTGTCTTTTCTTTTTTCTCAGGGGGGGACCCGGGGCCCTTCGTGAAATTAAATTAAAGAGGTTGTCATAAGGCCATTTGACTGAAGCCGAGTGGCTTGTTGACCTTGTCGGTGGCCTCGTGCCTGGGCAGCTCCGCCCAGATCCGCGGCCTCGGCACCAGCTGCGATGCCCGCGCCCAGATCTCAGCCAGGGGCGGCCCCTCCCGGACATCCTGCGACAGCCATGTGAAATTTGGATTTGCGAAACAATTGAGGGAAGCATTTGACGAGGACAAACTCGAGAAAAGCTCTATTCAGGCAGCAGTTGTACCAACTGACTCCAGGTTGGAAGCTATGGCAAGCACATTTTCCAGCAGCCTGTGGCTATTGGTCGATCAATCCTCAAAACCTTACCAGGCAGAGGCGCCCCCCTTCAAACAGTTCATTTCGTTGCTAAAAGGAGAACCCCTCACAAGTACAGTCCGAATGAATCCGAATTTAACAATCTGGACCCCAGATGAATAAACCCATCCTGTTTGGGGGGTCCAATTTGGGGCATCGGTAAATTCCTTTCACAGTGCACTGCGGATGTGCATTCATCAAGCAGCATTGCCCTTTTGGGACCGCTTCCCCGTGCCTCGTGCTGAGGCAAAGCTACTTAAAGAATCATCCAAACCACCTCCTCGCGCGCGCGTGCCTTGTATTCCGAAAAGTGACACTGGATTTTCCGTACGCCGCCGACCGGATTTCCGGCCTGTCCACATCAACGCATGGCACGAGACCCTCCGAGATCAAGCCATCCGACATCGGTCTGACATCGGCCTCCAGCTCGAGGTACGCCTCCAGCTGCTCGTCCGCCACCAGCGCTGCCTGCTTCACCCCTGGCACTGCTGCCAGGCGCGCCTCAAGGCTTTCCAGGTCCTGAGCGACGGCTGTGACGCCTGTGAAGTGGGCCGTTCTTTTTCTCTTTGGCTTCCAAAATCAACGACTCCCTTGAAGAAATGTAGACACGTTCACTTCAGCCCTTTATTGCCGGGGCGTTCGGGAAATTGAGCCCTTCGGGGCTGGCAAAGGCTGGCTCTTGGAAGCGGTGGGCCTTTCGATCCAAAGCCACCCAACCCTCTTTGTTGTTGAGCTACGGATGGACTCCCCTGGTTTCAGCTTATACTCTTGCACCCGCTGACTTTTGCACCCGCCATCGCGGGGTCCACCGTCACTCACACTCGCCCACCAACGACACTAAATCTTGCGGGCACCCTGAATTCACACCAAACGCTTTGCCACAAGCACCTCTTGGAACCACATGATACTGCGCAAGTGCAGTGAGGGAAGAGAATGGCATGACGGTACCAAACAAACTTGCGCATCACAGAACTAGAACTGGATGGAGAAGCACGAAGTGTCCGGCAAAAGGGTGTCAAGATTAAGGAATTAGACGGGCACCAGCTGGACAGCTGGAAGAAGCCACGAGTTTCAATTGTGTCCAGTCGCTCCTCGGTTGAAAGCCTTTCTAAGGGTCAAAAGTTGTTCCGAGGCCTGGGCACCTTGCGTTTCGTGGCGAAATCAGTCATTTGAGGGCCACTTTGCTTCAACTTCGTGGATAAGTGACTCCTCTGCTACAGAAACCCTGCCGGGCTGCACGGCATCGGGTTCAGTGCTTTCAAGGATTTGATACTGGCTATCCTTCAAAGAAACATTTGGCTGCTTACCAACGTTCGAGATGCAATGACAATGAGATCACTTCCTTTTTCAAGACGCCAGAGTTTGCGGGATCCCTGGGCAAAAGCAGCTAGCATGCACTGTCTAAACAACATTTGCAGCCTGCCGGCGAACTTCCACAGGCACTATCCACTATCATGTGAACGCCCACAAGCCCTCCATAGGCCTGCATCAATTCAAGGGCAGCCGCAACCTAGTCTTAGCCCAACAGCAGATTGCGACCAAAAAAAGTATGCTCATATTCTGTTCCATAAGTAGAAACCCTTGAAGTAAACATATACTTTCTGAGGAGACTCCAGTACTGTGGCCTCGCGTTGCTTCCCGATGACCATCGGCTCCGAAGCTTCAGCACTTGGCCCTCCCAAGTTGATCCCGTGAAAAAAGCATCCGCAAGGCGCCGTAAGGCCGCAAGGGGTCGAAGAAAAAGGCCGTAGCAACTCACAGCAACTCACAGCCTGACAGCCTGACACGGAATCACACGGATCCAAACCACCAAGCGACACGCCCCCGCCTCCCACTGGCCGCCTATCTTCGTCAGGGAGTCCGTCCGGCCCTGGTACACCAAGCCTCCGCCTGGAAGCCGGAAGGCTGGAACACTAATGTCCAAATGGGATTAGTAAAGGGCCCCCCCCCTCAACGATGGGGGTATCTAGAATAGCATCTTGAGATCCAGGTGAAGTGGTTTCCATTTGATTTAGTATTGGTAGACTTGAGTGTCCATTTGATTTTGTATTGCTGGAGCTTCCTTTTGAGATTTGGAACTGAGTTTCCATTTGATTTAGTATTGCTGGAGCTTCCTTTTGAAATTTGGAACTGAGTTTCCATTTGATTTAGTATTGCCGGAGCTTCCTTTTTTGAGATTTGGAACTGAGTTTCCATTTGATTTAGTATCGGTAGACTTGAGTTTCCATTTGATTTAGTATTGCTGGAGCTTCCTTTTGTTTTTCTTGGGGGGGCCAGGCAACAAGACTTTATTTCGGGGGCCCGTGAAACAATGTCAAGTTGGGGGCTAAAGTACTACCCCCTTTGTGGGTTTGATTGTTTGCAGGTTTTAAACAAGAGACATGTAAGAAAACATGGGTTTGGTAAAGCTGACAAGTTTGGATTTGAGGAGCAGGCCCAAATCTACAACACGGCATGAAGCACTGCCAGCCTCACCTAGGTTGTCTAATTGCTTGACTAGCTAAGAGGCAATTGCACTGGGCAGGTTGTATTTTTCAGGGGGCCAGGCAACAAGAGTTTATTTCGGGGGCCCGTGAAATAATGTCAAGTTGGGGGCTGAAGTACTGCCCCCTTTGTGGGTTTGATTGTGGGCAGGTTTTAAACAAGAGACATGTAAGAAAACATGGGTTTGGTAAAGCTTACAGTTTTGGATTTAAGGAACAAGGTACAGGACCAGGTGTTGGCTTGGCTATCTCTCCTCTCTTTTCTCTCTTTCTCTCTTCTTTTTTGCAACTTTTTTTGTGACTTTTCGTTGGGACATTGTTTTTTTCATGGGCAGGGGGGGGCAGGGGCTTGTCTTTATTTCAGGTACATTTATTATTTTTTTTGGCCCCCGAGTTGTCTTTATTACGCGTGCAATGTTTTATCCCATTTGGACATTACAATGGCGGTTTTCCTTTCGGCTCCTCTTTGACCCCGTCCAAAACAGGGCCACCTGTTTCCACTTATTTTGTGTCCCAGTCACCCCATGTTGACGCATACCTGTATCTGGATTCAACCTAGCTGGCTACAAAGGATTCCTGATTCCCACTTGGGAACACTGCCATGCCGTTGATGACAGCAGGAACCAAACCACACCAATGCTGATTGATTCGCGTGTCACCCAAGGACGAAGTACGCAGCAGCTAGCATCTTCCATGGATTTCTCTCCTGAACTGCATCAAATGAACCAGCTGGCAGGTGCAGGTCAGACCATTCGTTTCTTGACTCAAGCGAAGCCAGAGCAAGGCATATTGTGACATCACAATGATTTCGCAACTACTACAGGCTTTGCCAGTGCTACCGTGACACTATTCTCGGCAAACTGCGGTAGGGACTGCCTCCCAAGCATGAAGCTGACAGGAAGCAAATGTTGGAAAATTGTCCCTGATCCCCTTCCACGGCGGGTGAAGGAAGCCTAACGCATCTCTACAGACCAAAAACTATTTAAGTGGGTTTATATTAGCAGAATAAACAATGGAGCTCGAAGAGAATGAAACCTGCTAACACTTTTGTCAGCGAAATGATCACCCGCTGAACGAATTCAGCCAACAGTCACAGCGACTCGCATGGACCTTCACATGGGCCAGCCGAAAATAACCGCTACATGCAACTAAAGCAGATCACACTTTGGAGAGAACCTGCAAAACATGACCTACAACTACCAGCCACCACCCGCAATCCTAGTTCCCCAACATTGGCCTCTGTCAATCGGAGGTTAAAAAGGTGTTCGAGCCCACGCCTTCAAGCAAGCCCAGGCGGTCGTGAGTGCAGAAGTACTCCTTCCTTGGCGAAGCGACACTCAGATTGCCTTGATTACGCTTCTGAAGATCCTTTCATTGGCCAGTTCATGTTTTTTCTTGAGCTAGCAGAGTCAACAAAAATGGGGCACGTAGATGCAAACACCTATCACCTCAGGGCGAGTGGACGTCTGGAGTCCAAAGCGTCAGGTAACCCACATATCGGGAGAGATTGGAGCGACCAGACTTATCCACAACCTTGAATCTATTATCCGCCATTATACGGAAAGTCGGCAGCTCGTCCATGGGTCGATCCTAAGTGGCCAAGTTGGACTAGTTCAGGTGCGACACACCCCAGACCAGGCCACGAATTGACCAAAATATCTGTGGCTGGCCGTTGACTTCATCCAAGCTTCCCCTGGATCTGGTGGAAGGCGTTTCGGGAGATAGCACCTGCATCCACGTAGCCAGGGAACACGGTGGGCCCCGAGAGGAACAGCTCGCCGCTCTCGCCCGGGAGGCACTCTGTGCCGTCCTCGCTCGGTGACTTGGAGTTGGTCTGTGAATATTTGTGTGACATTCAATAGGGGACCCTTAAGGGTGGACATCACTTAGGTGGCCAGGTGTGGCTACCAACCATTCCCGGCGGGGTCCCCAGTACATGCATTGCCATGTCGTCCCTTAGAATCTTTGGCTGCAACTGGTCTGTCCCTTCTAACTATCACTTACCCGGAATGTTCCATGGCTCGCATGACCTCGAGACATTCGGATTGACGTCTTCCTTTATTTCCGGGATGGATGCTGAACAATGTTGATGTGGTCTCATTCTTGAAACATGGATCGCAACAGCACCAGGCCAAAAACGAATGATTGGTCTGCCTCTGCCAAAAACGGTTCTCACTAATTACTGCAATCACAGGGTTAAAGCTACAACAGCGTAGATGATGTCGCTGTCCGCCGGCTTGGAGCAAACACAAGCAACCAGCGTGGAGAGTCAGCGCAGCCCGAGATTGAGTGCTTGATTGCAAGTCGCTGTCGATAGAGACAGTCAACCCCCTAACAAAAGCAAATGCAGAACACGGTGCGAGTGCCTTGGATTGGCATTTGTGTGTGGGGATTTAAGTGTGTCAAAATATGGAGACCCCAAAAAATGTGGTTTTCCTTTAGGTTTCCGTTTGAACGAAACTGGAAAGGGTATCCGCAAAAAGCACAAAGACCTACTTATCCCTGACTCTCCCAGTCTCCTCCTTGAGCAGCTTGAAGTCCAGGTCAGGCAAAGCGTGCAGCACGTGGCGTTCGACCCCGTTGGAAGATGCAGTATCACAGTTCGAGTAGAAGGACAGCCAGTACCTGAGAGGTGCAAGGGCTCTTCCCGTGGGATGGATTCTGCACCTGTTGGAATGGATGACACCGGACAATCGGGGTAAATCACCTACCAACTGATGCAGTATGGTTGCCAAGGCCGCCCCAGGAACGACCACCAATCCCAATAGAACCCAATAGCTACTAACAAGGCATGATAGGGGCCAATAGCGGCTTTTTGGGGTGCCTTGTTTGAGGGTCCCTCTTGTTGGGCGCTGACAAGGGCCGGCCCGACCATCCGCTGCAAGTTGATGAAAATAATTTCACTCAGTTTGCCCTTCTGTAAGGCCCACATTGTGGGCAAAACAGGAAGGACTAGAATTGCAGGAGGAGCCGAATTTCATTCCTTGAGCTACCTTCAACCAAAAAAACAAACAAGGGACTGTGGGAGTGCATTTGTGCACGCTGTTTGACTGGAAAATGCTGCGGTTTATGCTGTTCCAGTGCATTAGATAAAGAGTGACCTGGCTATGGAATGTGAATCAGTGAATCAAAAGGGCTCAAGCCAAAATGGTTCCTTGAAACATGAAGGTCAAGTATCTGGAAGACACAGAACCCCCCCCCTTGAGATCCCTCCCTCCCTCCCTCCCTCCCTCCCTCCCTCCCTCCCTCCCTCCCTCCCTCCCTCCCTCCCTCCCTCCCTCCCTCCCTCCCTCCCTCCCTCCCTCCTCCCTCCCTCCCTCCCTCCCTCCCTCCCTCCCTCCCTCCCTCCCTCCCTCCCTCCCTCCCTCCCTCCCTCCCTCCCCTCCTCCCTCCCTCCCTCCCTCCCTCCCTCCCTCCCTCCCTCCCTCCCCTGCGGCCCGGCCCCCCCTCGGCCCGAGCCGCTCCGAGGCAATCAGCAGCTCCACCACTGGCAGCTCTGCCTTCCACTCCGCTGCGAGGCGCAGCGGCGTGCGCTCCGCCCAGGTGATGAGGCGCCGCAAGCTCCGCGCCCTGCGAGGAGTGGCGCCGAGGATCCGCCAAGAAGTGAAGAGAAGTAGTGGGAAGCCAAGAGATCCATGTGATGTACCAGTCAATGGCATAGTTTGTGTCAACCAAAGGTCCGAAAGTTGGGCCACGGGAGACTGTGTGGAGCAAATTCTGCTCGCGAAGTCAGCTCCAAGTTGCGCGTTTAAGGCTGCCTGGAGGCAACCTGAACATGAGTCTCTGACCAGAACTGCAAAACAGGTAGGGAATACAGAAAATACGATTCGGAAAAACATGACTTATGGCTGCCAGTTGGTGGACCCCAGACCTCCGAATTGCTGAGTATACAAGAACGATACTAAGCCAACACTAAGCCAAATACCTTCAGCCTTCAGCCAGCAAAGCTAAGTGACGCCTCCTCCATCCCCCAAACAGGTTTGACTGGTGGAGAATCGTCATGAATAGGGGGTAGGAAACCATTAGAAGCGTTGGCACCCCATTCCTGCCAGTGAAGAGGAGTTCAACAATTCCAAGCCAAGACCAAACCAATACTCGGCTAAGTAAACACTGATATTAAGCAAACACTTGCAACACTAGACAATGCGATTGGTCGCGCACACCACCTACTAATCAAATCTAAATTGATAATACGAAGCAACACTAAGGCTATACTGTTTCGATACTAACCTGCACAAGCCAGCACCACCAATATCAAACTAGTGCAAATGATGTTTTAGGCAATACCGGGCCAGTACAAAGAAATACTAAACGAAGCAACACTTTCTTGAAGACTTGGGGCCGGATGCTGCCCACTTTGTTTCCATGCTTCTCTACTTCCCACCCCACACTGACAGTCCTACCTCGGACAACGCGCCTGGATTGGGGGCCGGCGGGATACGCGCCCCGGAGTTGAGAGGGCACCACGCCCAGCACCGTGATGCCAAAGTCTGCGCAAGCTGCGGCGATCTCCTGGAAATCAGAGCACCTTCCAATAAAATACTGCCGCAAGCGCGAGCGGCAGTAGTCCCTTTGCAACCAGCCCCGAAAAGGAACCCAAGAAAACGCCCCTTGCCCCCCGTTTTTAGATCAAGACAGGCCTGAACTTCGCGCTATATCCTTGTGGCCCAAGCCTTGCCCAAGCATAAGCTTTGGCCGCCTGTCCCTCCCACGGAACCCACGTCCTCCGGGCGCCGGCAGAGGCAGATCACGTTGCAGGCACCGAAGGCCAGCGCCAGGTCCACTTGCCCGAAGATCGCCGCGCCCCAATAGGCGGACGAGTGCCTCGAGTTCCCCCAAAGATCTACATGGAACCAGAGGGTCCCTTGAGGAAAATGGGCTTCCAGGACCCCCACCCCCAAAGATCTGACGCTTTTGGTTCGGCTCTCATCTGAGAAAGCTAAAGTCGAAGGGCCGGGAACTGCCAGTGGCAATGTGGCCCATGCAACCTGAACTCCCGGGGGCTTGAGCAATGTGGAAAGAAGCCGCCTGAGAATGGTGCAAGTCGAAAAAGAGGCCGGCGTCGCTTGGGCCTCAGAAAAAACCTCGGTCGACTTGCTCGCCTAGAGCTCTGGAAACTGGACTATGGTTTCCAGTCACACGGTGACATTCGATAAATAGCTTGATGCTCTACCTGGGCGTTGGCTGCCTAGGGTCAATTGAGACCAACTTTGGGTAAAAACATGACTGTTGCATCGCCAGCTGCAAAAGCAACCCATTTGCAAAAAGATGTGCTTGAAAATTGCTGAAAATAGGTGGATTGTTGGATTTGCACATGGCTCCCTATGAAAAGACAGCCAACTTCAAGTTGCTGCCAACAACTCCAAGAACTGTTTGTAGAATACCACTGGGTTGCCGCCCTGTTGATTCCTGCCACACCCGACATTGTAGCCTGATGCTACTTGTCCTCGAAAGTTGGCAGGCCGTTTGAGGATTAGATAGTGGCCACGGTGATGTACCCTCCCGTCCACGGACACAGAGGGTCCCTTCTAGAGGAGAATGGCCCCCCATAGACAGGTTCCATGTTTGTGTTCAATTAGTGAAGAATCTTTAAGTCGCGCTCATCTGCCGTAGAGGTGTGAAAGGACAAGACCTGCTGGCAGCACGATGTGTCATTGCCAGCATGGCCAGAACATCAAAAAGTCCCACTTAGTCTCTTTCAATTTTGAAACTATGGCCTTGCCAGCTTGCATGATTGAGGCTTTAGACATACAAAGCCTGGGCCTCCGGGTCTTTGCTCGCACATGTTCAACAAGATGCATCTGCATTAATTACTAGTAATCCCCAAGCTGGAAGTGCGGAATCCCCAAATACGGGACCTTCATCCTGGGTGAGCTTGCTTTATCCCCAAGTGAGCTCACTCTAATTTGCCCACAAACCACAACCACGCGTTGGACACAAGTCGCCCACGCGACTGAGACTACACTGAGCCGCTGCAGCATCTTCTCGTTGCCGAGACTGCCCAAGACTTTGGGGTATTGTTCGATCTCCCACAGAGCCATGCGGTGGGTCACCGCCACACACTTGCCTGGGAGCGTCCGAATCCGGAGCTTCTGGCTGAGTTACATGTGCCTACCCCCATCCATATGTGCGACAAACCAGCACAAGGAAGCACAAGGCTTGAACTAGAACTCCTGAATTCACAGGCTAAACCGCATCTCTGATAGGAAGTGCACACCGCAACATGCAAAAGATGCGATGCATTCGGCCCAGGATAGGAATTCTAAAGAAAGTTTCATCCAAGAAGATTCTCTCGATCCTGCGCTCAATATGTTTTATGCTTCCTCTGCAAGGTACAAGCGCCAACCTCAAAAACGCCTTCATGATGCTCAAGATCAACGGGTCCTCTGAACCGATTTTTTGGATTGCACAACCTCAATCAGAGCCGAAAAAACGACACCAGAAACTGCCGGCAAGCTGTGCTATCCTGGGCGCTGTGGCGTGTAGTGCCTCCTGTAAACACATAGGCCAGCACCGCCTCTGCTGCATCTGGGACCTCTTGTGGCGCCTCCGGCAGACACGGCCATCGGACCCGCCCTATTCCAGGCCTTTCACAGTTGCTCTCTGCTCCAAGCATGAAATCATTTGTTCACACATCATTGGATGATGGCGATCACTTCAATCGGGAACCTCTCGGCAGACTGATTTTTTTCTTGGGGATTGATGGCCTCGCTTCTGGTTGTTTGGTCTTCCAGTGGCTGACACATGTTCAACGAAGAATTGTTGCCTCGGCCACTCTGCGTGACTACTCTGTCATAGCCCGATGTGCGATTGAAAGATGTGCCTCAAGGATCTAACGCGCAGGCTGTCCATGTGTTGCTCATGAGGCTGCGGTTTTTAATAGAGAACCTCCAAAATGCTTGGTGGACTTGAGGAGCCTTGCTGTGTGAACGCCTTGTTTAGTCTTCAAGACACCTCTTTGATCGACAGCCAGGGCCATTGTTGAAAATCCGATAAAATGGCCACATGTTCATTCGAGCATGGGATATTATTCTCTTCAGGGCAAGCCGCGCTTCTCACATTGAGCAACAACACTTCCCAAGCAAGAGTGATGGCTACTGTTCTGATCTCAAATGGAAATGGCTTCTCATTGGATGTAAAAGCGTAGCAAAGCCATGACTCCGCCTCCTGATTTCCGTGTCGACGGTCCCGCCTTTGCCTGAGCATTCAGCAACTGCTCTGCGGGTAGGCGAAGGCAGTCAGAGGGAAGGCTCTGGATCTCGAACCTCCAGAGAAAGCCCAACTACCCGACCCCTCACTCAGCGTTTGCGGACAGGAGGGTACATTCAGGACACTCCAAGATGTTGCCAGCTCCATCCCCCCAAATCGTAGTCTTTCATGAGGGGTCCCCGCAAATCGGGAGAATACCGCTGCGGCAAATGTGTAGAAGCAATCATTGCACCAATGCCTTTCTTCCAATCGTATCCCAAAGCAGAAAAAAGTGCCCCAAAACTCCTTTCCCCGCCCCCCCCCCCCCCCCCCTCAAAAAAAAAAAAACACAAAGTGCACCAATGCCCCCCGCCCCCCTCACATCCCCAAATTCTCGCCACGGCGCGCGTTGTCGCCGAAGACCAGCGCCGCCGGGCGCAGCGCCGCGGCCGCCTCCTGCGCGCGCCGTGCCTCGGCGTCCGAGTCGCGGTCCGCGCTCAGCGCGAGCACCGGCACCGCCAAGCGCCAGCACGCCAGGCAGCAGGCGTACCACAGGCGGCCCGGGCGCAGGAACACCTAGGTCTCGAGCCTTAAGGCGACACCTTTTGGAAGCCGGGGACAAAATGAAAAAACCAAAGGGGATCCAGTGGATGGTGGTTTGGGTAAACAAGGAAAGAGCAAGTGCCTCGAACCTTGATTGGAATCTCCAAAATGGGCCCACGCCTGTACCTGGGCCGGGGCGGTGACCCTGCTCTCTGGGATGAGTGTGATGCGTTGCCCAGAATAGGCAGGATGACGCAACACAACAGCACGGGAAGGTAAGCAAGCTGGAAACAAAAGAAGAGGGACAAGCGCAAAGGCAGGAAGGTGAGGGGGAAGCCACGTCTGAGGCAGCAGTAAATGCGAAGCAGTTGATCATTGGCCTGCTGTGGGCTAACCTGGGACAATTCAACAATCAGCTTGTTCAACAAAATTAAAGGAAGCTGCCACGCCAACACATGAAGATGAATGAGCAGATCCAATCATATTAGCCATATTACAGCATAAAGGTTGTACCACCAGACCCCTGGAACATACCCCTTCAGGATGACACAAACAGCAAGGGTAAATTAGGGTAAAGCAGCTCTAAATAAGGCTGCATTGTTGTGCTTCTCCTTTGGGGGCTTGGTCTGGGGGTCAGTGCGGCAAGTCTTTGCTCATAGCAAGCAGGTTCACATCTCGTGAGACACTCACAACAGCCCAAGTGTCTCAAGGCTTGCTGGTTCGCAGCAAGCACCACAGTGATGAATCAGCAAGCGGAAAAACAAAACCAGAAAACATGGTTGAACACTCCCAAAGTTTGCCTGCGTGTTGCTGCCTGGAAGGAAAGCAGTTGGGGGCGCCTTCATTTGATTCAACAAATCTTGCGAGCGATGGACCAGGCTCTGCTACGGCAAAAGGTTTGAGGAGTCTGGCTGCCTTCTGACTAGTATGTGCGTCTCGAAGTATGGGGCTTACAAGCACACGCATAGAGCAACCCAAGCTTGCACCCCCTAGAGTAGAATGACGACTCATCAAGAGTCCTAACGGTCCTAAAGGCTACACTTACAAGAGCTTGCCATCCATGGACACAAGGTGAAACTCCTCGACAGGAAAGACCGTCAAAAGCTGCCTTGCTCTGCCCTATCTTTGCGCCGGGAGCACCAAATGTCCTGCTGACCCAGTGGTTGGCAACCAAACTGAAACCTTTGACTTGACTTGGTGGGGAACTGGCAGCTTCCGTGGCTGAGCTATGTGTATATATATATATAGGTATAGCTGCATGGATGACCTCCGACATCTATCAAACAAGACACAACATCCAACCTGCTTCAACGGGTAATACGGGCGCTTTACGCCCTGCCAAGGAGCAGCGACTGGGCGGCCAGGCACAAGGCCGTGCCTTGGCGCAGCTTCTCACCGTCCGGACTTAACAGAAACAAGCTAAGTCCAATGAACAAAGTGGAGGGAGCACACATGTGGCATAGATTGCCAGCAAATGATAAAAAATGCATTGAAGCCTGAACTGGCTGAGACGCCAAGGCAGGAACAAGGCCCCCTGCCGCTTGCTACAAAAGAGTGACCCAGAAGCATGCCCGGGACAAGCCACATGCCTCAACCAGCTGTAGAATACATAACAAACTGCTATAAGTACTCGCCACCATTTTGGATTGCGTCCGCAGCAAATCCCACCCCCCCAAAAAAAAACGCCCTTCACCCCTCGTCCTTTCCAAGCTGCCGTGAAAGCTCTCCGGCAATGCGACCCGAGATGTCCCACAGCTCCTCCAGGCGCGTGGGCTGTGGGGAAGTGGCGACCTTACGCACCGAACTCCCGGCCAGTTGGGAGAAGTGGCAACCCTTGAGCCCTGGGAAGATCTACAACCCCCCCCCCCCGGCAAAACCCGATGTTTGAAACTCCGAATGCCTAAGCCAAAGCCCCAGCACGAAACCACCAAATGCTGACCCTGATCAAACACCCCTCTCAGGTGAACGCGGCCCGCGACGGACAAGTCTGGCTATGCCGTCGGGCCGAACTGGTTTACATTAGCAGTCAACACCCCCCGGCGGTCCCTTGAGGTTACCCTTTTCGGATTGTGCTACAAGGGCACCCAAAGCTCCTTTAGAGACAAAGACAAATGGGTCTGTCTTGACACAAGGGAACTCCAAAATGGCGGGGTTGCCTTTTGGCTTCCCTGAAAAACTGAAAAAAAGGGTACCCTCGAAAAACACACACACACACACACAAATGTTGTTTGTCTCAAAATGGCAAATCCCAAAATGATGGGTGTCCGTTTGGTTCCCGATCAATTACCAACCGCCCGAAATCCATTTTGAGAAACCTCCAATAGAATACACCAACCCCAACAAACTCCACCAAACCCAAATAAAACCCCATCAATGCAACCTGCACACACCCAATAAACCCAAACCATGTCCATCCCTCTCCTGGTAGCTCCAAATGCCATCCGCATCCTGCACCGCCGCCTGCCTCGGCCTCGAAACCGCCCAGCGCTCAAAGACCCCCGCGAGGTTCTGCTCCATGGCGCGCGGGCGAACCGCAAAAAAGGTTCTGTGCGTTGGTTCAAAAAGCGAGCCTTGGGCTTCAAACGGGGAGTGGTGCAAAAAAGGCAAACAAATACAGGCATGAGAATTAGAAAGCTTTTTTGCCCTTTACTTGTTTGGTGTTTTTTTTTGCCCTGGCCCTTGGAGAATTTGCACAACATGGGAACCAAGTCAAGTCTCCTGATCTGTGCCCCCGCATCTGTGCGTGAGAAATACAGGAACCCAGAACTCTACTGGTGCCTTTTCATCTCTGTAACACATCATCTGCAAGAAGCTTGATCTTTGAGGGAGCCAGCAGCCAGCTCGGCTTTCAGGCCTTCATTTGCTCTCGAGTCTCTTGCCCCAGGCCATGCTCATTTGATCCTGTGTCAGAATAGGACGCTTCCGTTTCGTGTTCCTTCAAACTCAAGAAAGAACATCCATTCGGTCACAGGCAACTGGCGATTGCGGAGCCCCCCCCCCCAAGTGGCCCATGCCGGACGCGGGCCGGCCGGGCCCAAAACTGCGGGCGTAATAACCACATCGGCTCGCTTATCGCTTCTGATTCAGGTGGAACATTCCAAGCCGGCCTCACACAGATGTCGTGGTTGAGTCCCTTTGCCCTTCCCCGAGTTTCAGCCAAAACAACTTCAGGTCTTGGTCATTCCTCCAAAGGGTTTGCTGTGCAGAGCATCCATTGACATTGGTGAGAAACCCCAGTCTCGACCGCAAACAACCAAGAACTGCAAAATCAGGAGCTCCGTGGGCCATGCCATGCCACGCGACGCCACGTCCAGCCCTTTGCGGCCACTTGGAGAACACGTGGCCTTCCTCCAAACAGCCGGCGGACTATCCAAAAGAATACGACATCAGGAGGTGAGGCAACTGAAGCTCAAATCACAAGTGAAGTTTGCGACTTTCTCGGACGAGATTTGCGTCACAGACTCCTAGTTCAGTCTCTTTTTGACCCAGTCACAGCGACCTGAAAAATCAGGGCCGCTTCCTCTTTGACGTTGCTGGGTCACCAGAACCGGCGGGAACAACGAGTAGCCATTGCCAGCGCGGCTCAGTTGCTCGATTCGTCGATTGGCTGGCTGATTCTCCAACGTATGCTGCACTTGTTGCAATAACGTGATGCGTGGGGTCCTAGGCAATTGCCAAACACTATTGGCCCCGGCCCTTCCAAGTGCCAATGAGCAAGAGGTCTGGCCCTTGCGCTAAGACTGCAAAGGCTCCGTTGAGAGGAAGATAGCCGGAGCAGCCTCTCCAAATCAACGCTTCTTAAAGAGCCAACCTGTGCAAATGACATGTTGCTTGGTATCCAATCAGCTCGCTCCGCCTAGATGAATTTGCAACACACAGTCATAAGCCACTTGCAGTGGGGGGGCTCCCTCCACTTTGGGCAGTTGCAAATGAGATACCAGACCCAACACGCCGTTGCCTCTCCCAGCGCTACCCCATCGCGCAGCTTGCCTTGCCCTCGGTGATGGCACACCTGCCATGCCGAGCTGGTGTTAGCATGTCTTCCAGCGCTGCCGTGCTTTGCGGCAAAAACCAGAAGGGTTTGATTCGCTAGTTGCTAATGCAGCGTTATGGAAACAATTGTGTGTTCTATGAAGCCCAAAGCATCAAACACCTCGGGGAGGTGACCAAAAACTGTGGCACGAGGGTATTTGGCCATATCCTTTGCGCAGAGGGAGACACAGGCCTCTGCTGAAGCAGCCAAGGATGATATCTGATAGTTGAAACGCGGCGTTCCCCAACGAAGGCTAACCAAAACGGTAATCTCTACTTTCAGGAACCCATGCGATTTTTTGAGGGCTATCCTTTGCAAGGCTGGTTAAAAGGGAGACCACAAGGCAAACCATATTTTTTGCAGGTACTCAAATTTGTTGGCAGTCCATCGCCGCTCGGTAAACTTTATCTGCATGAGATCTTGCTCGGACGGCACTGGCACGGTCCAGAACAAAAAGGGGACAAGAAGCGAAGGGGCACAGCAACCGCGTGAGCCATGCAGCGGAACGGGAGTCGTTGATGAGCTTATACTATACCTGCGGCTTTCAGAGTACAGGCTTTTCTGCACGGGAAGAGTTCAATGTCATACGACAAGCATATCAAAAAGGAAGGCTGAGTGTCACACTCCACAGGAAGTCAATGCCATTTCTGGGTAACAAAACAGCTACACCAAACCAAGCAGAGCCACATAGGATGATGATCTTGATTGACACGTGGGCACCCGGTTTGCCCCGAAACAATCCGCCTGAGTCGCTCCAGGTCCTGCGATCCCACGGTTCCCAGCTCCTGCAGCCTGCGAACATCTCCGCCGCGGAACAGGGGGGGGAGCTCTTGATTTTATGGGGCAAAAGAAATCCGGGTGTCTTGGGGCTCAAGTTGGCCAAAGATCTCCGAATGATCCGAAAGATGTAGTCAGGGCTGCAACTTCGTAACCTGCCTCCCAAGCAAAGCACAAGCCGCTGCAAAAAGCAGAAGACAATTGCCTTGATGCAGCACACGCCCAGGTAGCAGTGTGGCCGGCAACCCAAAGGATGGTGTTGCCTGTTCAGACTGCTTGACATATGGCAAGCCAATCGGTGGCTTGCGCTCAGCCCACAATCACCGATCGAGCCGTGAGAAAGAACACAAAGGAGCCCGCTTGTTGATGGTGGCTCGAGTTCAGGCGAGAATGAGCATGACGAAGCAAACAGATGTGGGTGTACATCACCCATCGATCATTAAGGCAAACCCAAATGTCCGCCACGCATAACTAGGATGATACTGGTACAAAAACATGGATCACATGTCAGCACTGTCCAATATCTACCAGCTTCAAAGAAGGATATATCTGTAAAACAAGCCAACAACGCTCACACCTCAGCAAAGGAAGTGCAGCTTGTGGACGTGTGCCCGGTAAAATACCTTTTAGGGCAGGGTCGCAGATCTCTTGGATGGGTCCTTGCAATCCTCGGAGACCACAAGCAACAGGTGCTTGTAGACAACAAGGCCGCCCAATCATCAGAGTGATCTAAACGCAAAATAGCTTTCGGGGGATCTCTCAGTCGGGCTGCCCGCTTCAAAGTTGCGCTGACAGGCTACACTGCTGACGAAAGCTCCCAGCCCGTTCACGTGGCCCGGCCTCTCCCACAGCTCATGCGGCTCTCCGAAAAGCCGGGTGATCTGCAGGTCGGGATTGCTTGGAACCAACGGGTTGAATCCAAGATGTGTCTAAATCGCAGCAAGCCTGCTGTGAACGTGCAGGTGTTGAAAGCGGCCTCATCCTTGTTGCCTGTTCCAATGGCTGCATGCTACGCTTGGGGCATGATGAGGGTGCAGGATACCCGAAAACATCCGAGCAATCGAGAGTGATGGGAGAGGGCATGGCTTGAGGTGACAGGACAGGGACCTACAGGCAAATCATGGAGCTCGCACCCCCAGAGCTCACTAGATCGTCATGTCCAAATGTAGCCAGTAAGACACCATTTCCGCGTGCCCTTGAAGCCGCCAGACGCGCCGCGCAGGCCTGTGTCTCGATGGCCTTCTGCGCCTCGAGGGAGAGAGAAGAGGACAGGAGCAGCGCCTGCGAATCTGCGGTTCGAAGAAATCCCAAGTCAGCAGCGCCCGTTTCACCTGTTGACCTTTTCTAAGAGACAATCCCCAGGAAATTCTACAGGAAGTTTATCCAAACCCTGAATTTTGGTTGTCTGGTAGAAGCTCCTGGAGCTGGTTGCTTAGACAGTCGGTTCCACTTTGATGATTATAACGATTTATAAAGGCTTTAGCAAAACCAAGCATCAGAACCGGTCCTTTTGGGGTTTTGAGTGCTGTAGGGAAACATGATTCTGAATGGATTCTCTTTGGTGCATCTCAATCTACGTCCACCAGTCATTCATGAGACTTCATACATACAGCCAAGCGCAAAAAAAAAGACTGGAACCGGGGATGCAACGGAAAATGGTTCATGATCAACCAACAGATTGAACGAATGCAACGCCGAAGTTTGCCAGATACAATGGCTTCCCGGTCAAGTGCACTTGGATGGGATGAAAGAAAGAGGCTGCTAGGGCAAGCAATAAACAACAGGGTCATATGGTTTCAGCAGGCCAGGGATTCAGCAGGCGGTCAAACCACTCAGCCACTGCGTGCACCGATGAAAAAGGAAGAGAAAAAAGGCTGAAATGAAGGCATGGCCGCGTGCTCTTCGGATCTGTGAGCTTTAGACACGTGCAAAATGACATGCTTCGAATGGGTGGGCGTATTGCCAAGCATACACAGAACAACATGCTTTTACAGTAGTTCGCGATGCAGCGGGACCAGGAGAAGGAGATCTGGACTCGGCAACAGGAAATGGCGAGATTGCATTATGAAGGCGCAGAAGTGGCTCCGCGGATTGTGTTTCCACCCACCTTTCGCAAAATTGGCGCCCCCTGCATCGGCGTTTGTCAAGCCAAGAGGGCGTGGCTACTTTGTGCAAGACTCTTCAACCATACTCTGGGACAACTCCCTTGGCTCGGGCCATCCGGCTCTGAACAGATTGAGGCACCGGGAGTTCACCGCAAAACCTCTCGGCTCTTGGGCGAGAGCTGTCGCTCGGTGGATAGCCAGATCTGCCACTAGTCCAACTTCACAAATTTAACTAACTCGGAATCCATGGAAGACGATTTTTGAAAGGTCCCCTAAGTCAACACGCGCGCGCACAATCAGAATCCTTCTAAGAACTCCCAACCTACCAGGTCCTGCCAGTTCCATCTTCAACTTGATTTCGCGGTGGCCGAGGCCCGTGCAGATGCGGGTCTCCCGCCTCTTCAGGCCCGAGGCTGGTGACATAGTCACTAAGTGACTTGCCGGCCGCCTGCGGTGTTCCAGGAGCCCGGCGTACTTTTCGGGGGGTTCTGGTCCGGCGCCAGCCAAAAAGTGCCCGATTGAGACCAAGCGCTTGCTGTTGCTTTGGAGTCGCAAACAAAGCAACAGCATTTGGGCTGACGGGACTTGCATAGAGTTGTCTTGGAAATGTGCCCCACTCACGGGGTTGTGCAAACAATCGCAACCAGCCCTGAGCCCATCTTTAGCTCCCCCCGCCCCCCGCACCCCACCATCGCGCTCACATGTCCAAGGCTTTCTCACCCTGCATTCCATGTCTCTGACATAAATGTATACTAGCTGTAGAATTAGCTTTCAGCACAACGAGATCCTCCATACTGTTCTGAACGTTGACCCAAATTCCAGCTTCTGGATTGACAAGGGGGGTGTTTCCCTCACAACTCAAGGATCCCCTCTTAAACACCCCTCCCCCCCTGTTCATTCACCGGAGGTTCATTCATCCAGTTTCTCATTCCAAGCTCCCGGCGCTTTTCCTTTTCGCTCGCCGCGGCCCCATGCCACCAGCGCCCCGTCGGCGCCCAGCGCCGCGAAGGCGCCCTCCGCGCCCTGAAGCTGGCGACAGCCGAAGGCGCCTTCGGCGCCTTCGCCGTCCGCGCCTGGGACCAAATCGAAAGGGGACACCAACTCCAACCCATCAGCTTGCATTGAGTCACCCCGTTTATTTACGCACAAAAACAAATGCAATCTACTTTCACCCAGGTGTACCTCATCAAACTGTTCAACTGCAGTTGTTTGCTGGATGGGAGGTGCAGTTTTGAGAGGGTAAAGAGCAGCCCGACAATGAACCGGATTTGAAGTGGAGCTGGATTCAGGAATGTGTTAACTGTGAAAAGTACCACTCCTTGATTGAGGCAGCTCTCGATGAAGCGTACTCTGTTGAACTTGCAAATCACCCATCCGCTGGGTTTTTCCCACCTGTAATGCCTGGAAACTTCTGGCCCCTCCTCCCACAAACAGTGAAAACCAGAGTCGCTCCCTGAGTGAGCCAAGGGGGTGTGTCTGCTGGTTGCCATTAGGGTCCCAGTCTGGCTTTGCAAGTGTTTCAGACAAGTGAGTCTATCCTGGACCATCTACTGTACTGAATCGAACTCACCTCTCAAACTGCGGAATTGGTTGGCTCCACAGCAAAACAGAAAGCCGCTTTCAATCAGTTGCCAAAAATACACAAGACTTGCTCAAGCCATTGTGCTTCATTGCCATGCTTACACAAGAGGCTCCACCCTCCCGGAACCAACCACCTGCCCAGGGCCTGCATAGGCATCCCCCCACACGATCACCTTCCCGTCAGCCCGCAGCGCTGCGAATGCTCCGAAGGTCGATTCGATCTTCTGCACCTGAGTCGACTCGAGGCAGGGATACCAATAGCCCACTTTTTGGGAGGAACACCAAAAGGTGACCAACCAAGGGACCCATATTTTGAGAGGGCTCATACTCCCCAGTTGGACGGGATGAAACCTCCTAACAATATATAGTAGGAGGTTGAGTACCCGTGGGGTAACTACTACCCACGTGCCCATGGGAAGTGTTCTGTATATGTAAGCGCTCGCATACCCTGTACGTACCTCTCAACAAAAAAGACTAAACTTTCAAAGCAAAGTCATCAGGGAAAGACCTGGGCATGCTGCATCTCAGTCTAACTGCAGCCCAGTCAAAGTCACACTGCAGACCCTTGCCCCTATCATGTTCTGTATGTATACCTATATATAAATACATATGGGCTTGTCTTAAAATGAGGGGAATCTCGACATGGTTGCTTTACCTGCGGTTCCCCTCTAAACCCACCCAAAGAACAAACACTCCCATATTGATATCCCACAGCACATCTGACTCTCCGTGCAAACAATGAGAACTTGCGCCTGGCTCAATTCAGTTTGAGCCATCGTCCAATCAAGGGGGACGACAGTCACCACATTCGGGCAAACCACCATCGGCCACCATGCGTCTAATGCAACCGGCGACCTGGGATTGGCTTCGGTATGCGAAGCGCGCACACTCAAAAGCTTGAAACCAAACACCTGTCATTCGCTTGATTCTTGTGCAGAAATCAGAACTAGTTGCCCCAATGGCAGAAAGGCTCCAGAAATCAGCTGATAGTTCACTCTCCCTTCCACACCCTTTCGATGTCTCAACCCCACCACCCCACCACCCCACCACCACACCCACCACCCCACCACCCCACCACGCCACCACCCCACCACCCCACCACCCCACCACCCCTCCACCCCTCCACCCCTCCTCCCCTCCCCCTCCCCTCCCCTCCCTTGGCACCTCCCACAGCTCCGACTGCACCTGGCGGCTGTCGCCGCCCAGGGCTCCGTGGCCCCAGGTCGCCACGCCCCCACCCTCCAGCAGTGCTGCGAAGGCCCCCGCCGTGGCCGACAGCTCCACAGCGCCCTGCCGCGGTCAGCTGACCCGACCCTCAAAGCATCGATTTGGGTTTCAGGGGGTCTGAGGGTCTCAGGGTCTCAGGGTGAGAGGGTCTCAGGGTCTCAGGGTCTGAGGGTCTCAGGGTCTGAGTGTCTCAGGGACTCAGGGTCTGAGGGGTGGTCCAGGTGCAAAGGCAAAACTCCAAAGTGCTCCAAAGGAATCCCAGTTGATTACGCAGTTTGTTGTTGAAGAACTCTAAAGGAGATGGCTGCTCGGCGCAGCATGTCGCTCACCAGTTGGGCTGAAAAGGATTTTCGGAGAAAATACGTTCGCTTGGTTTTGCTTGGATCAAGGCCCGATGAGCCCAAGCCCCCCACCCACCCCCCACCCGCCGCTTTCTTTGACCTCGGCACAAAGCACAACAAACCCAGCGCTTCTGCTTCGAATTCTCCTGGACTTTCACAAGCCTTTTCTGGGACAAGCGAGAACATGATCGTCGCCCTTGCCCTGCGAAGTGCAACAGTCTGGATGCTAACGGAAAGTGCATCTTTCATAAAAGCATGTCCACCTCTCAACTTAAACCAACCTTACTGAGCTCTTTCCTCTGACAAGTATTGGGAAGAGAAATCCCTTGCACAGCCAACTGCCAACATACCGCCTGCACCACCGGCGCGCGACCCCCAAGGTCCGGGTCGCCCCAGGCGGCCACGGCGCCGCCCTGCAGCAATGCGCCGAAGGCCCCGCGGGTGGCGCACAACGCGCAGGCGGCGCCTGCCGTCGGCACTCGCGTCGGCGCAGGCCAACCCTGCACTCCCGCCTACCCCCTCCCAAAATTGGGACCCTTTCTTGGGATGGTGTTCTAGGAAAAGTCAAAGGAAGCCAACGATTTGTGGGTTCCCTCCACCCCGCACCTCCGGCCGGCGCTAGTTCGCCCTCGAAACCTCCGCCCCAGGCCACCAGCGCCCCGTCCGCGCGCAGCGCCAAGAAGGCGCTCTCCGTGGCCGCGAGCGCCGCCACGCTGACAAGCTGGGTCTGCACAGCGCCTGGCTGGCGACCGCTTGGTTGGTTCATGAGCTGGGTTGGGTTGGGTTGGGTTGGGTAGGTGGTTGGGTGGGTTGGGGCTGGAAAGAGGGATGAGGAAGTCCAAGCCATAGGTGATAGTTATCAAGGCTCGTTGAGAGGCTGGTTGAGGGTGAGATAGTGAACAGGAGAATCAGGACCCTGGTAGCTCGCCTAATCACACATGTATCTTGTATCTTTTGCTGCCGGTGCATGGGAACGCTTCTTGCAGATCTGGACCTAAGGTCTAGGTTTAGGTTTAGGGTTTAGACTTACCGATTAGGCTTAGGGTTTAGGTGTAGGGTTTGGGTTCAGGCCTTAGGTTTGGGGATTCGAGGTTGGCGGGGGCAGACAAACGATGGGCATGGGCTGTGCATAAACAAGATAGAGTGTTTTCTTTGTTTTCTTGTATACATATGTTACATATGCATACAATGTCTGCAGGTGCTTTTCAGGTTCCATGCTGGGTACCTCTGGCCCGTCCATTTTGCCCAGGCGCTGCTGTCACCCCCGAAATCGCTGTCGCCCCAGGTCACCACGGTACCATCCTGAGCCACCGGGCTGCTTGAATGCCCTACAATGCGGGGGGTTGCTCAAAATGACAAAGGGTTTTGATTTTGCGCTGGCAGAAGGGAAACCAAAAGAAAACCAAGGGCACCCCAAGCCAAATCACCCAGAGATGCAACAGGTGCTCAGCAGTCGACCGACTGCATCGAACTGGCCCAGGCTCATCCAACGGTTTCACTTCGAGAGCCCAATTCTCGTTGTTTCATCTGATGTTCAAAGCCTGCACAGCCTGTGGGCGAGGTAAAACTGCTTTCTATCCTGATCGGAGTTACACTTTATGTGTTGCTTCATGTTTAAGCGCCGTTCAATGCCAATGATGCCCTTCCGTCCGGGGCGCTGCTTTCAAGGCGGCGAACGCGCGCCGGGACGCGCATAGCCGGACCACGTTCGTGGGCTCGAGATCGTCCAGGTCTCCTCCCGCCCCCAAGCTCTCTGGGCTGGTCAGTATTGGCAATGGGGCACTTCTCCCATGAGGGGCAGTCATCTTCTAATTGGTTTTCCCTAATTGTCATCCCATGTAAAGGACCATTTCACCAACCTCCATCTGAGGCAGCATGTTGGGCGAACGCATCAACCCAGCTTAGGATTTCTCGGCTGAGCCCGACCATTTCTGAAGCAGTAACAAAAACATATGAAACTTCGGCTGCCTGCTGTTTGACTCTGCCAAGTTATTTCTTAGACGTGCTTCTGATTGTTGCTTGTTTCGCTTAAACAAATGTTTCTGCAAATTTACAGTGTGCCTCTCTTTCGCCAAACTTTCGGGCACACCACTGCAGATTCGGGTGGAAGGTGCCTTGCTATCCTCTAAGGCCTGGGGGGTTAACGGGGTTGCTCTTCATGTCAAGCGAAATCTGGAGTATTCTGCACAGAATTGGCTGCTGAATGTGGTTTATGTACGCAGAGTAAATTATCCCTCACAAGGAAGTCTAGAACTCTAGATGACGCAACGCTCCTCTTCAAGAAAGTGCAAACATGCCTGTTGCATCGCTGCCTCTGGCAACTTGTTTCACACTTGTAAGTGCAAAGTGCAGATACGGCCAACATCCAGCCATGAAAGGCCCTTGAAGGCCCAGATGCATCTAGCACCGGAACTTGGCAATTGGATTGTGTCACGTTCAGTCACCTCTCTTCTGCTCGTCATTTCAGCATCTCGCACTCCAAACATCCAGCCTCCGAAGGCCACATCACCCCAGGCCACAACAGCGCCATCGGCCCGGACGGCCGCAAAAGCGCGGTGGGATGCGACAATTTGCCGCACCTACGGGCAGAGAAGGTGCAGAGCGGAAGGCGTGTAACATCGGAGTCTCCGCATTGCCCATTGGAAGCCTCTTTGAGACCATGTTCTTGCACCAATGACACCTCACAAGATTCGACCTACCCTCGCACACTGGCTACATCCCCTTAGCCTTAGCCCCCTTGTGAGCTTTCAGACAAATGCCACCACATAAAGCTGTTATCATATCTTCTTCCTTTGCCACTGTGCTCATGGAAGTTGCACGCGTTTATGTTCTTGGTTGCGGCTGGTGCGAGAAATCCTCAATGCCCATGGAAAGTAGATCTAAATCCTATGACAGAAATGCCAACAGAAAGCCCATTTGGGTCAGTCCTCTTCTTGACCCACCAAGACCTCGAAGAACGAAACAAAACAAAACCAAACCCCAGAAACTTGTTGTTCCCCAGCTTTGAAGGGACCCGATCCGCCTGCCGAAGTTGGCTTCGCGCTGCCCCCAGGTGTCCTCCTCCTAGGAAGTCGCCCCAGGCGGCCACCTGGCCATCTGCCAGCAGCGCCGCGTAGGCGCCTCCAAAGCGAAGGTGAATCCCCATGTCATGATGGCCAAAGGGTGCCGGTGTCCCTCCACATTGGGAGAACCCAGTTAAAAATCAAGGTTTCCTTTTGGACATCCTTTTGACACAACCACCAAATGAGTACCTTGAAAACAAGATGCCCACAGCTGTATCTGCCATCTAGTCCAACGGTGTCCCACTCCCAGGCATGAAGCTGGGAAAAGAAAGGGTTTAGAGTGTTGGGCCCAACCGTTTGAACCCACTGCCCACATGAAACCAAAGCAGGGCTCCCAAGCCCCTTCCAAGGGCCTCCGGTGGCAACCGCGGCTTTCCCCGTTCCCGTCGCGCCTGAGGACATCACCACGGCCCTCACCTCTTTCAGATCGAGGCGCTGGAGCTCTCCCAGGGGATCCCCCCACAGCACCGCATCCGCCTTGGACCGCGCCGGTGCCCAGGCACGGCCCAACCAACTCGGATTTCGCCCCCTGAAAACGGTCGGAACGGTCGGCCCTTGGCATTTTTGTTTGCGCGTGACGACTTCGGATGAGTCGGGTATGGCCTTCACAACATGCAGCTCGGGGAGGCGATCACCGGGAGACCTGTGTGGGTGCAAAAGGCTGTCAGCCGCAAATAAGCCGATTGGTGCAATGGGTTGGCTGGGATACCGCTCCATAAATAGCTGATCCACCGCGACGAAAATTGCGGCCGCGGGTCGTAGACCACGGCACAGGCGGTGCTGCGAGCGCTGCAGAACAGCTGCGGCTGCCAAACGTTGGCGTTCACCTGAGCTTCGTTGGCCTGACCTGGATGTGGCCGCAGAGACCTTGTATTTGGATGACTCGTGGGTTGGGCTCTCATGCACGGGTTCAAGTGACCGGAGCCCGTTCAGAAGCCGTTCAACAGGTTCCCCCAAATCCTGTTGGCCCACTTGCTTCTCTCTGGGAAGAAGAGATGTCGATGGCCGGTCAGAGCGAGCAGGCCCCTTGTTTGTCGCTAATCCCTTGTTTGTTGCTCTCTTTGCCCCAAGACATTAAAACACACACTCCGCAAACTCAAGATCTTTTTACAGTTCACACCAACATGACTTTGACAACCCCCAAAAACAGTCAAATCACTCTGACCCCAACAAACCAGGAAGTGCCTAGGCGCCCTTAAGATATTTAGTCTCCCAAATAGAATCTAGACACCAAGACATGCCCGTTGGTGCGAGGGTAGTGACCAGAAAGAGTCGAAATACAATACGGGCCTAAATAATTACAATGGGGTTGTGGGGTACTGTCAACGAAAGTAAGCCATGATTGCCACAAAAAAGCTGTGCGTAGTCCTTCAGCCCCTTACATTAGCGGGTCTCAAGTCGTCCAAAAGGAGGCTCAAGCAACATACCTGGTCCAGCCCAGTAGTGATTCATCAACCTGGCAGATTCATAAGGGGGTTGCTTCCTCCAAAAGTCTTTAAACTGGGACACCATTACAAAAAATATTAGGGGCTTGTGGGTCCTTGGTCAAAACTCATATGATATAGATTCAAGGGTTCCCAGGTCCACCAAGAAAAGCTCCCATCCCATGATTTCGCCGTCCAAGTCACGTGATAGGTGAAAGGAAACAAGTCGCCAAAGAGACGTGACTTGACGCCCAACCGTCACGACCCAGCCGACCCCCGGGCTGATCCAACGTCTCACTCCGAGCCGCCACGGAGCGGTGCTCCAGGCCGGCACCGTGCAGGGTGAGCCAAGCGTAGAGCTGGCGGTGGTGGAGAAAAAGGTCCAGCAGTTGCACCTGCCCCGCGTTTTTGGCGGCGAGCCCAGAGCAACCATTTGGCCCATTTGGCCCGTTTGGCCAGTCCCCCCAAACAAATGACCAAAACATCAGCCCAAGAGAAAACTCAATAGAAATTGGCCAAAAGGTGCGAATGCCGCGGGAAGTGAGATTGCCAAAGCACCAAGGTTACTAGAGTTGTTCCGGGTCAAAAAGTGACATGCTTGATCACAACGGAATAGTAGGGCCTTGTAGGGTGCTTTAAGACCGACAAGTATGGTAGCAACTGTTCAGCCCCTTTTTGCAAGCAAATAGTTGTTGCGGGTCTCCGCTGGGTTGCTCGAATGCAACCATTCCCCCAGCATAGACCCCAAATAGCCACAACAGCACCCTCCCTGCACGCCAAACAAGCACCACCAGCAATTGCCGCTGAATCTTGAGCACAAAAAGCACTCCCCAGCCCATTCAGAACCCTGGCCAGCACCCTGGCTGCGTCGCCAAACAAGCACTGCCAGCAACTTCCACCGCACCTTGAGCACATTAAAATGCTCCCCTCACCCCAAACAGCACCCTGACCACACATCGCAAAACAGGCACTGCCAGCAACCACAACGGCTATCTGGGGGAAAACTCAAGGATGAGGGTCAGTGTGTTTAGTATGCGAGCGTCTGGGTTTAGCACTCCTGTTGGCAAAGGAGTGCATGGTTCTGGCCTTGCTGTTGACAAGGGGCCTCATACGTTGTCAACATCAGATTCAAATCTGTCTTGGCGGGTGTTTGCTTACCCATGCCTCTCATGTTGGGCAATTATTGCAACTGCCCAATCTTCCAAGAGCGCCAAAGCGCACCCCCAGCATGATCCAGAAGAGTTGTAGAGATGAGCTGCGTTTGTGGCTGTGCCTGCATTCGATGTGACGGGTTCTATATTGTCACATCGGCCTCAGCTCACCTGAACATGTGATCAAAACAGGCATCTGAAAAGGAGGCAGGGGTTCTGCATCAAGCAAACACCACCAGGGGTCGAATGCCAAGCAGCTGCCACAGCAAACACTAATATGCTGAAAGGTGCATATAGTCTCTAGAATGTTGTGGATACATTCCTCAACAGCTTTGGCGAATTTGGGGGCGTTTCTTTGCCCACAGCGTACACCAAGCCAGGCCCAACCCACCAGTCTAGACCCGTATAGCAATAGCATCGTTCGTAAACCGCCGATTGGCAGTCTGACTTGCGAGCTTTGACAAAGGCATATCCCCATACTCACAAACCAAACAAAAAGACGAACTCGGAAAAGCTATGAGACGGTTGAGAAGCCAGAAAGGGGTGTCGCTTTCCCCAGACAGCTTTAGCTAGAGGGGCTCTTACTTCTGAAGAGGTGGGGTCTGTTCAGCAAATCGGCCCAGGTGGTGGCTGCAAGCTGCGAGGAGTTCTTACTTCCAAAGAGGGGCAGCCTGTTTTGCGAGTTCGAGCGTTGGTGCTGCAGTGCTGGTCAGGGCGGGCTGAAGGTGCTATATAGTGGTTGCTGGCGGTGCCTGTTTTGCGATGCAGTCAGGGTGTGTTGCTGCAGTCAGGGTGCTGGTCAGGGTTCTGTTGTAATCTCCCATCTATCTGGGGTCTATGCTGGAGTAATCGGGGACCCACAAAATGGGTGAAACAAGGACCCGCCTGGAAAGGAAGAACAACCATGGAGAAAACAACACGTCTTTTGGCGCAGGCGGTTTTGTGAACCCTAGCGCCTGCAGCTCTTGCTGCGCCTTTTGCCGCAGCTGCTGCACCGTGCTCTGCTGATCTGCAAAAATCCTCGGAGTTGGAGAGGTGACATAAGAAATTTGAGTGTGGGGTTTTCTGGAGGGTACCACAGGAACCCTGCATTTTGTGGTCCCCCTATGTTGGCGCTAACCCCCCCCCCCCCCCCCGCCCCCGCTTTTTGGCACATACCCATTTCGGACATATGTCCATGAGCCATACAAGACATGATGTCAACTCTGTATCAGAAGCCAGGGTTCTAAAGCAATCAGCAACTACACAAATCATGCCATATCATAAGCCGCCAGCATCACCAGCATCTAACCTGTCCTTCGATGAAACAAAACATGGCAAACCACGCAGCTTCTGCACACTTGCCACACAGCTTCAGATTCAGCCGCCGCACAAATCTGCCAGTCCCCGCCCCAATTCATGTCCCAGGGTCGTGGCAGTTTGCCCGCTCAGCAGCACCACATCCACGGCAATTGCCATGGCGCTTTGGGAGTGTTGGGCACCCAATCGATTGTGTTTGTTTCCACTGCGATGGTAAGCAAAAATACCCTGTCTCTGAGGTCCCGCTGGAAGTCACGTTTGTGTGGGGGCAACATGCTGCTGGCTTTGCACCGGGATTTGTGTTTGAACGGCAGCCTGATGTTACACCAACTTCACAACCCTCGAAAAGCGGACTAGCCACTGGAAAACTTTCGCTTGGGCTGGAAAACTGCAGACCAGACCGTCAGCAGGGCCTCAGTTGGGGAGACTTAAAGGGAGATACTTTGCTTTTCAACCCTGTAGCAACAACTCTGTTTTTGTTGGCAGCCCCCTACTAAAAATGAACAGAACCAAAAACCAAAAGCATCTCAGAACTTGATCCAACAACAGTGAAGTTTACCCCCCAAGCTTGGGCAGCACCATCGTCCCAGGATGCATCTGGCAGGTGCCCAGCATGATACTTCCCGTCGATATCGCTCTCTCTCTCTCGCGCTCTCTGTCTCTCTCTCGCTCAACTCTGTTAAACTCACCCGAGCCCACCTCGCCAGCGGACCTCTCCAGCTGAAAACGCCTCGGGGCACAGAAGGCGCAAACGCGCTCCACACACGGCAACGTTCACAGAAAGTGCAATCCTTCTAATCACGGTCGACACATGTGACATACCGTGAACAGCACTGTTCGGCTTGTATTGCATGACAAAAACGAGAAAGCTTATTCAAATCACAATGTACCAATCAATCAGTGGCTGATTTGGCTACCATACGGTTGAGCTTAGTCTTTGTCCAGCAGGGGTATCAAGGAAACCTCGTACGCCAGCCGCTGTATGTCTCAAGCAAGCACGCAAGCAGGAAAGCAAGCAAAAAGCAAGAAAGCAAGGAAAAAAGCAAGCAAAAAGCAAGAAAGCAAGGAAAAAAGCAAGCAAGCAAAGCAACAAAGTGAAGCAAACAAAGCAAAGAAAACAAGTACAGAGAAGGCAAACAAAGCCAAGCCAAGTCAAGCCAGGCGAAACCAAGCCAGCAAGCAAAGCAAACAAAGCCAAGGAATGCCAAACAATCAAAGCAAGGCAAAGCAAACCACAGCAAAGCCAAGCAGAGCCTCTTGGTTGAAGCCAAGAACGCACATTTTCTGCATGACTGCTCAAGGAAGCCAGCTCCGGTAAACCGCCCGAGGCGCCGGCTGCTCAGCGTCCCGCAGGGCGTGGCCAAGCAAAGCTGAGCTCCAGTACACCTCCCAAAGCCACGAGTCAAGCTCAATTCGCAAGACACGCGCACACATGTGTGCGTGTGTGCATGCGTGCGTGTGCTCGTTTAGGTTGCCCCGATTTGGGGTTGACTCATAGCGAAAGCAAATAGAACTACAAGTTGCTTTGGGGTTCCCCTGGTTTGACACATGCCCACAAAGAACAACAACTAGGAGGGAATCATGACAATTAAGCTGAAGCGGCTGATCCCAATTTCAAAAGAGGGCAATATACGCCAGTTTTATAGGATGCAGCACAAGCTGAAAGTGGATCTCCCAATGCCTTTTTTTCCCCCGGATCTCGAAGCCAAGCATAGCCAAGCGCCAATCGCCCCGCCTGCGCCAGCTGAAAACGGGCCAGATTCAAAACATAGTCCTGCAAGCCGGCAAAGAAGCCCAAGCTAAAGCTGAGGATTGCCAGGCGAAACAATGATCTGGTGAAAACTGCGATGGCAACTCATGCGACTGAATCAGAAGTCGAAGCCAGTGCCCAGGACACTGGAGCGGCAAAGCGTAGGGGACCTCCGTAGTGGTGGACAGCAATCCTACAATCGTTTCCTTGAATCAGGTCGCCTGGAGCCAACAAGCTGGGCGCTCAAAGAGCGCACTCTCTCTGATCTCAAGAACTTAGGCACGATGTTGCGGGGCCGGCAGTTCCTTGCACATGTTCGCTGTCAATGAAAGCAATGCGGAGCGGGCGAAGCATGGGGGAACACCCATGGATTTCGGCAGATTGACATCAGCAACCGCGTCTTCGGCACCGGTCCCGCGTCAGATGGTCCCACCTGGGCTCGGATCGAGCTTGGAGGTGAAGACTTGACACGACCAAAGGGCATCTGCAGTTTCACGAAAGCCAAAAGAAGCAACACGGCTCAACCAATCCAGGTTTGGTGCTACCGGGATGGTTTTGCTATAGGGCTTATACTTGAAGGTAAAATTGAAAGATCATGCTTCCGTCCGTCGGGTCACCAGCATCCCAGCCAGAGCTCCTTGTATGTCCCTCGCAATTTGAGGGGTGCCCGTTGAATGGCCATGAATCTGCAATCTCTCATCCGTCCAAAAAGAAACTCATGGGGCTGTGTTTTTCAGGCTCGGTACCCTTTTTGGGCTGATTTGAGAGGGAAGCAATCATTTACGGTCCCGGTCCCCCCATTTTCACCCGCACCCACAGAGGCTCTGAGGGTCCAAACGGCGCTATGAGCCCGATGATGTACTGCTGGATCAGCTCCACGGCATCCTGCGTGGCTCCTTTTTAAGAACCAAAAGGAACACCGAGATCCAGTTTGGGGGACCCTGTGAAATGAACCCCGACTTTGACCGGAAACAAATTCCTCCCCATTTGCCCAGGCCGTACAGCTAAATGGAGAGTCCCCAACTTGAGCTTGACACAAAAGATGCCGAAAAGCGGCCATAAAAAGCCAAAGGTTCCGAATTGCGGAGATTGCGTGCTGGCGATAGAGCCCTGAACAGGGCATCCCCAGATTCATTCTTTCAGCAGCCTGAAGCGGGGCGTTCAGGAGGGCTGTCAAAAGAGGTCACACTTGAACTGGATTTGACGTGCGCGTTGCGGCAAGCCACCTGCCTGCGCTTGCGTACCAAAGCATTGAGGATCTTGAAGCACCGCCGTGTCTTCAAATCGATGGGCCTCTTGTCTGCCGGCCATGTTGCGGTACAAAAGAAGTAGCGTCGCAAAGGACTGGTTATCCGTCATCCTGATCATGGTTGCCAGCCGATCCCCTGCACATTTGAGCAGCACCTCAAGCTTATTCACGTTTTTCCCCCGACATGGTTACAAAAACATGGCTATCAGATTGATTGGGATGGCTTCACAATGGTAGCCTGGATGTTGCAAGTTCCGCCTGGAATGTAACTTTGAGAATTTACCGTAGTTACTGGCTTGGACAACATAAATCAGCTCAATCTAACAATCAAACAGCAATAGAAAGAGAGCTTGTAAACAATTCAGTCGGGGTCTGCGCTTCCAACCAGAAGGAGGGAGCTGTTTCACGAGAAATGCAACTCACAAGCACATGCTTGCAGTCCCAGGTGAAGCTCTACTGGATCTTGCATGCCGCAACAGCCTCTCTGCATGTTGGATGGAACATTGTCACTTTTTCTACTCTCTGTCTCTCTCTCTCTCTCTCGCTTGGTGCTTCATTCAACCGGGTTGCAACCGACACTTTCCTTGCCTTGGTGTAGAGCTCCGTGGCGAGCCTTTTCAGCTGAGCTTGGCCCAAGTGCCCACCTCGCAAACTTTTTTCGCGAGTCGCAGGTGGTCCGCCCGGATACATCAGGCTCCGGCAAAAATGTGATAAAGATTGCCCTGCCCGGAAAAATGTGTGCTCCATATTAATATCGTCCAGTCTCCGGTGCCATTTTGCTGTGGATGGCAGAATTAACACCAGGACAACAAGTCGGCTCTAGTCCGATTCAACCACAGTTCTTGGGGAACCGGTGATCGGTGGAAGGAATCCCATTGAAGGCTTTGACAGGCTGCAACGACGACTCGGCAGTTCAACAATCGTCGCGTCAGAAAACGTGTCAGCTGGAAATCCTTTAACAGCGGTTCGTAAACGGAGGTTCCAACTATGTCACCCGATATGCAAGGTGTCCATCTTCACATGGACACCCAATTGTTTCCCGCGTATCGATTTGCAAGGCATGGCCCTTGCTCAGCACCGGCTCTTGCAACGGATCTTCCGATCTCTCCAATGGTGCCCTGCAAAAGGCCTACCTCAGCCCACCTTGACCCACCAGTCAAGAGTTGATCAATCCTTCGGCTGCCCAACAATTGACGAGCACCAAATTGCATTTTTATGTTGGTCCTGCCATCGCCCGTGATGGAAGAATAGAACAGGCCAAAAAAAAGTACGCACGAAGAACTCCAAGACCAAAACGTAAGTGGGTGTTTTCTTGAGGGTACCCTTTGTGGGGTAGGTTTGAAGCTAAACCAAAAGGAAACCCGAAGCCGTTTTGGAGGGTCCTACCGCCTAACTTCACACACACACACGTATCCTGTGACCCGAACTCCACCCCAGTCGTCAGCCCCAAAACCACTCCCACGCGTTGAGATCAGCATGGACCCTCGCCTTCCAGGGAGAAGAGAGGCACCTGGCACGTGGCTGCGAATAGGGGGAATTCAACTGGTGCCTGCCGACGCATTGGGTTGTTCAGGTAAAAAAAAAAAAAGCAAAGTTGTTTTCTCTATTGTACAAACCACAATGTTTAAGTGCGAGGTAAACTGAAGTTTGGGGCAACGCCGGCCAAGTGCCAAGGATTTCACGCGACTAAAGAAAAGGCTCAACGACAATCCGCGAGGCTTGTTGCCAAGATGAGAACTGAATGCGAAAGACCAATGGCCCTGGAGGAATGATACTTTTTTGGCGAAGGGCTGAGATCTGCCAATCCCTGCAATCCCATGTCTCGAGCCCAGCAATTCGAGCCCCTTCAACAAAATCAACGCAA